AAAAAAAAAAAAAAAAAAAAAAAAACGGAATAATTACATATACCAAGAAAATTTTCTTGTCGTACAAACAATGTTCATTTATCATACTCACTCCGTACCATCAATAACCCCCATTTTCACCAGCAGCGTCATCGCCGTCACCCTCATCCTCCGGGGCCACTCTAGGCACAAGAAGTGCTGCGCGGACCGTTGCATCAGCGAGACCACCAGGTGCTGCGAAGAGACGCTCCAATGCACGCCGTGAACGCTCATTAAAACGGCGTACCGCCGCAGGTACTTCTTCTTCACCATACGGTGTATGTTGTTCTGTGTAAGGCACTATTTCGTCAGCATACAGAAGATCTGCAAAACTCGCCTCGTCATAGTCAAAGACGTAGCGTCGCATTAACTCCAATTGATCATCGGTGAGAAGCTCCGCAACAGCTGTATTGTAGCGACACAATGCCCGTGGTGTTAAGAAAGGTGTTCCATCTAAAAATGAATTAAGGGAGTATCGAAACCGAGGAGGTTGTACCCCATTTGATGTATGTTGATGCCCATATTTTTCCGTTAAAAGTGCACTGCTTGCACGCAGAGTAGAACACACTATTGAAGCACTTTTCTGCTGATTCAAGTACTTTTTTCGTGCCATTCGAACCTCTTTATTCATATCTTGTAGCCATTGGCGTGTTTCCTCAATACGACGCGCTATACGCTCGCTGCTAACACCAAGTTCACTGCCGAAGAGAGATGATCCCTGCGGAAGAACTCGAAACGACGATGGCGTGTCACTCCGTGTATACACTAAAGCACTCCCCGGAGCACGAAGAGAAAATGGAGTGGCGGAGGTGCTGTGTCCGGAGTACATGTGTGAAATTATACCGCAGGAATCCACTTCTCTCTAACGTTTATATAAGTATATGAGGTTGTGTGGTCAAAACTCTAAGGCTCCCGCCAATAAGAATCTGAAGAGAAAAAAGCAGAATAATAATAATAATAATAATAATAATAATAATAAGAGGAAGAATAAACGTACAATGGGTTAAATAAAATGATGTTCCCGCTATTACAAGGAAATTCAACTCACAGAGACACAAAAAAAAACAGTTTAATAATTACAGACCCTGTCATCTCTCACCACGCACCCAAAAACAAGACATCTATATCACCCAATTTGATGTGAAGAAAAATAGCCAAATAAATAAATAAATTAATTAATTATTAATAATAATAAACGTCACATGAAGAAATAAGTAAAACAATAAAGGGAGAAACACCACTAGCGCCAGAGTGAAAAAAAAAAAAAAAATGGATTGAGGAAAAAAAGTGAAAGGAAGGTGGTACACATGTGGTGTAGTTAAAGGAATTCTCCAAGAATGTCCACTGGGCCATTAGGCCAGGCCTGTAATGAGCACTTCAATGAATTCTTCTTCATCCACTCCGCTTCATCCAGCATATTCTGGAAAGAAGAGCGAAGTAAATCAATTTCCTTCTCTCTACTAGTTGAAACACCATCATTCACCTCAAGAATCTCCAGAGTTTCACTTATACGCTGCATCACCTGTGAAAGGACCTGATGGTCTGACGACGTCAGTGGTGTCCTTCCAGCGGTGCGGTGGGGCAAGGCAGAAGGACGCACTCCAACCCAGCGTGCGGGAAGTAATTGAGAAATATAATCCGCACGCTCTTCTATTCGTTGCTGTTTCCTCGCATTGCGCCGTTGCGGTGTGCCGTGGTCACCAAAGAGGCCTATAAAGGTAAGGGCAATGCGCAGTCCATGGGGATCCCCATCCACGAGTAGAAAGATTGGCAAGTGTGGCAGTTCGCGGTGTAAATTGCGGAGAAAGTTGCGTGAGGCTCTGCACGGATATCCTTTACTGCATACAAAAACACAGCGATGTAACGGCGCATCAACTTCAAACGCGCCATTTGTTTCCATAAGTGTACGCAATGTACTTTCCTTCTCCACAAGCACCAAAGCGGAGGGTGGGATATTGCTCCCTCTTGCTCCTCGAAAACGACAACCCTTCAATCCAACCATAGTATCAATAAGAACACCAGAAGTATGACGCATGACATCAATCTCCAAAAGATGTGTGGAATGACTACTAGTACAATTACTCGTCGTCTGCAGATTCTCTTCTATAACTTCACTCGAAGCTGGATCTTGTGTGGAATGTGAGTTATATATTGTCATATCTGAACGTTTAGGAACATCAAATGATAAGTAACCAGTAAGAATACTCTTGCCGCTTGCGCCAATTCGTATACCTTCGCGTGTGTAGGGTCGTGGTTCTTCCTTTTTAACCCCATTCACACCGTGTGGTTTTGCGGAATAATATAATGGATACATAGAATTCATCCAGCGACAAAGGCGGTCAATACTGCTATGTACCTCTCTTTGTCCATTAGGGAAAAGCGGGGCATTCCTATAATAAACATCACGTTCTGTGCACATCAACCCCTTTTCCACCATGTCCACAACGCAAGAAAGTACATAAAAGGTTTGGGCGTCTCGCCGCAGCAGCTCTATTTTTTTTTCATTTGCACATGTGATGATGTTGTGATTTTTAAGTCCCACTCGCTTTGTAGTAGAAAAAGGAGTACTAGAAATAATAGAAACGGATTCAACGTCTCTCTGTGAAGATGTTTCAGTATGAGTGGACCCAGTACTTCCAAGTAGATAATGAATGTAGTTTAGTACAACGGCCTCGGCACCGCTCATGATTTCCTTGTCACTAAACATGAGATACTATATATCGAGAATAAAAAAAAAAAAAAATTAACAGATAAAAACAAAATAAATTCATGCTTACTGGTAAATTCCCTTCATCTCTTTTATTAAACAGAGATTTACACAGGTGCAGATGTATATATATATATATCTGTCATCCTGTGTGGGAATATGGTTTTATTTTCATTCTGTTGGGGCTTTCCATATCCTTTCCATTCTTGTATATTACATTGATAAGTAATTCTGCGTATGGTTAGTCAACCTGTGGCAATTTCATGGCTACAGACTAACACTGTCCACTAGTGCAAAGTAACGACATGGTAACAGCCATTATATTTACGTCATCCAAGAAACTATGAACATCGACGTGAACACATCTCCCATTCTCTCCTCTCCTTCCCTCACCCACCCCCAACTTCTCCTTCTCCCACAGCACAAATACAGAAAAGAAGAATGTGGGAGGCAAGACAGAAAGGGTTTAAAAACAAAAACAAAAAGAAGGGAGAATAAATAAAAAAAGAAAAGAAATGAGGAAAAATATGAGATGTACGCTTCTTTTTTTTTTCTGTTTTGCAACCTCTTGTTTTTTTTTTTCCTTTTGTATTTGGCCCTTTGCTTCATTTGTTCCTTATCTTTCTCTTTTTCTCTTTCTTTCTCTCTCTCTTTATGTGGGTGTGAGTGTGTTTGCATGTGTTAAAGAGGGAAAAAAGAAAGAAAGTGCCTTTTCTTTTCGTTTTCCCTCTCTCTTGCACCCCCCCCCCTTTTTTTCTTCTTTACAACTGTTGTAAAACTGCCATAGCAAGACGGAACTCCTCATATGTGGCTCGCCCATCCCCGCGCCACGCCATTCCCTCAAAGAGTTTCCTTATAGTACTCTGGGGAATTGGTAACCCAAACCAATCCAGGGATTCAATGTCTTTGCGAAACGCCTCACCGTTAATAGAGCCATGTAGACCACTGGGAGGGACGACATCACTACCAACTGCAGCGGCAGCTCCGGAGGTCGGCACACTCCCGCTGCTCCCACCCGCCGCGCGTTCCTCCCAATCCACTGTTCCTCCGTAGTGCTCCCACAGACGTGCCACATCCTCCTCCGTGGCATTCAACAGCGCCTGCTGCACCCACTCTGTGGGACCCGCACCAGATCTACTGTTTTCATCATCAAAGATCAAGAGAGGAGAATGTCTGCCAGTGATCCTCCCAGCACTACGCCTTCTTTCTATCTGTTTTAATGCATCACCTCCAGCCTCCTGCTCATCAGTCAGAGCCTCTGAAATTGGAGCAATAGGAACAAAAAACCCATCACGTTCACTCATAAGGTCTACAAACTCCTTTGTATCAAGTTCAAAGGTAAAACTGAACATGCGACCTGTCACATTCTCATCATGAGTTGAACGACCCGTCAAACGCACCAATGGGTTATCCTTCCATTCCATCAATTGCGCAGGATCATAGTCCATGTAACAAACAGCGCGCACGAGTGGATCTGGAATCATATCGCCGCTGCCACACCAAAGTTCACGCTCCACATAAGCCTGCAGTGGTCCGTCGCTAGCTAACACAATGTTGTCAATACGATTTGGTCTCGACGGTAAGCCAACCTCCTCCCATTCACGGTACAGTACACCACGCAGGGATGTCTTTTCTGCCTCAGCCGGATCCACGTCACCTATAACCTTATGAAGAAACTGGTGCCAGCTACACTTACGCTGATCCCAGCTCACTACATAGCAGTGAACGTCCCGCATTTCTTGTCCTAAAGAAATCATACGCTCCCGTTCCAAGGGTGTAATAGCATTGACCACATAAACCCCTTCTGCATGAAATTTAATCACTTCCATATCATATGCCAACTGTACATGCTGCTGCTGAGGTAGAGACCACTTCACGTAGAGTTGTGACGCTGTCATGTTAAATCGGGAAAGAGCGTCAAAGGCACCAAGAACACGTCGCGAAGATAACACACTATCCCACTCTTCACCAAAAGAGTTAAAAAAATTGGCCCGACCTTCCGCTGTTACTTCTGGGCAATTCTGAATATAGTTGTGTTTTGCATAATACATAGGAGATGCGAGGTGTTTGTCAACAAGACGAGGGCAACTTTGTTTGCGAAGTTCTTGCTTCACACGAATGTTGTTTTCGGCGAGAATGCGTTCTAAATGTCCTATAATCTTGACATTTTCAGATGCGTGGGGTTTAATAATAATAACGGCGGTGTTACGGTACAGTAGGGTTTCATCACTACTATGTGGCAAAATCCTTTGCTCATGAACCTCAGCAGCATTCCCCTCCCCTGTCATTTTCCATCGATTTTGTTGATCCTGTTGACTTTGTTCTTGTTCTATTGGTACCTTGGATGCGACCACACGAAACTGAGTACCTAAACTTTCCCCTATAGCTGGAATTCGTGCAGCATTTGCTTTATTACTATCCTCTTCTCGGCGAAGTTCTTCTGTTAAAGTTGTTAGTAAAACTAATAGACGTGATGTGTCGCAGTGCCGCAGGTGCTCAAACACACCTGCCTCCACTCCTCCTGAAGTAACATCTGGATTATCAAGCCATACACGAAGTATTCTCTCAGGTACACCATGACGTAGCATCACATCACCGAGGTAATCTTCATTTAGTTTGTAGTGAAGACATTTAGTGCGCTCTCGCATTGCCTGTAGTGCACCCTGACTCACGTGGAGACCATTACGTAATAAATCAGGCGTAGCAGTAAGGCCATACTCTCTCCAACGTTGAAAAAGTTCTCCACGAATACTATCTGGGAGTGCAACTTGTGGATTATCATCACCTACAACCTGTTCAAGGAAGGTAGGCCAGCTCATACTTTCTTCTGCCCATGAAACAACATACCAATGTAGTAGCGCATTGGCAGATTCAAGAGATTGCTTTAACTCTGGAAAGTATCCATTTACAACAAAAATACCGCTATCTACCAACTCGGCAACAACAAGATCAGGACGAATCGTTAGTACTCGTTTGGATAATCGCCAACGTTCGTAAAGGTGTTGTGGTGTGATACCACCTAGAACTTCTAGAGCACGATAAGCGTTAACAATGACGCCACTCGAAACCATCTGATCCCAACTGATACCAAGTTCTCGACGCACCATATCTTTTTCCCCTTTGCAAAGTCGTATAGTTGATACATCACGTACGGCATATCTTGAAGCAGTAGCATATAGATGGTGCACAAGTCCACGAGCACGCACAACACCACCACTTAAATCACCCTCTTCATCAATTCGTACGTCAGCACGAGAAAATATCATTTCAATTGTCATCGCAAATGGTCTACAAAGGGCATGGCTTTTGACAAGTACAAAGGCCGAGTTGCGGGGAGGTGTAGTGAGGTGCCGTTTTTCTTCTTCAAAAAGTAATTCAAGTACTTCTGCGCTTCCCTTTCCACGTAAGGTATCAAATAAAAATCGTCCATCACGTTGTACCATACGTGGATTTCCTAGAGCCCAACGTAGAATATATGGTGAAACGTGTAACTGTTGTATTGCGAAACGTCCAACAGTATCGTGCAACATATCAAGTGAAAGCCACATTTGACGCTGGTGCATAGCCTCCAAGGTGCTGGTGGAAGTAAAGAGAGCTCCTTCAAAAGGATCCGGTGGACACTGTAAACCAGCAGCTTTCCAATCCTCTAACAAAAGATGATTTAAACTACCAGGTTTTGCATTCTCCACGTAAGGGTCGCCAATGATGTCCTCTAGGTAGCGAGCGTAGTCACAATCATTATTGTCCCATGAGAGTAAAAAATATCTCTTCACAGTTGTACATGTGTTAAATATTTCCACGCTGTGTAAAGCAAAGCCATTGACAAGGTACATGTTGAAACCTTCCAGTTTTCCAACATAGAGAGAAGGGGCTATGCGTTTGTGCAAGGTACATGAATCCCACATCTCTTTCAGTTTGAGTGCTGATGCGTTAAACTCCACTGCAGCATCCACAGCATTGCGAACCGTATGGGGATCCCATAAATCATCAAAATACTTGTGAAAAGCACACATTGCAGCTGAATCTATAGCATACTGAGATGGGGTCTGTTTAATAGCGTACTTGAATACTTCTGATTGGAGTTCTTCTGCCATATGACGTAATGCTGGTGCGATAGCCCTAGCACTACCTCCTGCCTCAACTCTTATTTTGTGACGCACCAAAAAGTCATTGATATAGACAGTCATAAGTTCCTCCTTTTCAGCAGACGCACATTTCGGATTTACCACAAGAAAAGCATAATTTCGACGGAACGACTGAGGTAATACTGCTTTATCTGACAATATTGATGCAGGAACTGAAGCAGTATTATTGTCCTTGTTAACAGTGGATGTGAAAGAAGTAACATGCCCATTAGATTTTTGCACCGATGTTAACAATTCTTTGGAACCATTCGTATTTTTCTTTTCGTCTTTTAGCATTTCATCTGCTGGGGAGAGCGTGGGTGAACTTTCTTTCTGTGTTTCTGATGTGATGAGTTGCATTCCCCCTGATGACTGTAGCCCAATCAATTGTGCTAACAGGAGTGGGTTCTCTGTACACATCTTATCGAACGCCTCACTCACCGCGTCCACCGGCTCATCTCTGTGCCGTACGAGTGGGTTGCGAAGGAGTGTGTGGAGATACTCCGCGCTGACGCCGCCCTGCAGGAGCAGCCGCCCAAAGACATCTTCCTCCACGGGGGTGCCAAGCCACGCGATGCGGTCGGCGAGTCCCGCCATGGGCGTTGGCGATGCGTGCACGCCGTTGTCAATACCGTCCGGCGGCCGCACGAGGCCCAACGCCTCCCACGATGTGAGGAGCCCGTGCCGCAGTGAGGCCGTGGCCGCCGCCGACGGCACCGAGTCGCCCACAACGTACCCCTGGAAGTCCTCCCACGTCATGATCTCCCCGTCCCACGCCACAATAAACCAGTAGATGCGGGGCCCGGTGTACATGCGGGAGCGGAGGTACGGGTAGAAGCCGTTGATGAGAAAGAGACCCTCCTCCTCAAGGTAGGCAACATACAGGGAAGGTGAGAGACACACCTTACGGGAGGCGTTATTCCATGCATCCAGCATTCCCACCTCCCCCAACCGTTCCACACCTTGGCCCGCATTTATCAACATGTGTAGATTCACAGCTGTACACCATGAAATGCCAAAAGTCCGCTCAAATTCTACCATTTGTGTCGTCGTAATAGGTATCTCTTCAATAGGGCGCGACATTGCATTACGGTATAAAGCATAATACTGTTGATCAACAAGTCTTTTCCCAATTACTTCTTCCATCATGACATGACCAGAAGATATTACCTCAAGGCGATGTTCCTCTAAAACTTGTGGAATCCATTCTACTACTTCAGTAGTACATGCGTGAGGTTTTACCCAAATAAAAGCATAGTTCATCTTTATGTCACGTATAAAACGAGAGGTAAGCGCTTTTAGACGTCGTACTACTTCACTACTTTGCTGGTACTGAGAAAGCTTAGTTCGTGTAAAATTCTCTCCAAAACCATTTATTGTATATTGTTTTTTCTTTCCATCATCATCATTATCATCTCTTTTTTCATTTTCCAATGTTTCATCTCGCACATATGGTAGTAGTAGTGATAAAGGTACACCTTCTAGCATAAGTTGTTGTACAAATGGGTCTTCGGAAAGATCAACTCCAAGCCACATCTCTCGATCAGCAGCAGCCTCTAAAGGCCCCTCTGAGACGTACAATGCAGCTGTCGTCTCTGACATTGGTTGTCGCACTAGACCAAAACTCTCCCACTCATCTGCAAATATACGTTGTAAACTTCCTTCTGTGGCGGTACGTGGATCAGATTTGTTGCCAATTAGCACATTACAAAAATCATTCCACGTCCAGGATTTTTCTTTCCATTCTACTTCAAAAAGGTAGATACGGTTTCCTGGTTTTCCATAACATTCACGAACAAAAGGAATAAAGCCGTTTATGAGATAAATATTGTGAGACTTTAACTCCGCAATAAAACAAGACTTTGTTACACATTTCTGTTCAGATTCTTCCCATAATTGTAAAAGTTCTGTAGACGTAAGTCCAAGTTCCTCACATGCCTCAGTAGCCCCAAGTAACTTACCTCCTATCAGGCACCAATCCCAAGCAAAGTGAAAAAGCTCCTTAAATTTACTTTTAATAATTGGGCTAACATCATCTCGTAATTCATCCATTTTAGCATCAGCAAGTTGTTCCATGGCACGAAAAGAAGAACTTTTAAGATAGTGTTCCACCACATAGTTACTGAAAAGAGAAGTTTCACGGGTTACACGTATTTCCCCAGTAATGAGAGTTTGCCTCACTTTTTCAATCACAAGATCATTAAGCGCAAAGGGTCTGATTATTACCACACCCCTATTCATTGGGGTTTCGGTACACATTGTTAGTGCCTGTTCCTCTGCTTCACGCATAATATCCACCATTTCAGAGGTTTGAAGATTTTCAAGAAGATCAAATATGCAACCTGTACGTCTCCCGTTCTGCAACACCACTTCCGGGTTAGATTTCCAACGGTATAAGAGAGCTCCTGTCAAACCAGACTCTTGCAATCTTAACGCAAGAGGATCATGTGTAAGGGGGGAACAAGTCCATAAATGTCGCTCCAATACAGCTTCAAATGGTCCTGCAGAAGCATGAACACCATTGTCTGTAGTTGTTGGTGGATGTTGAAGCCCTAAATCCCGCCATCGATCTCGTATTAAACCACGGAGACTATTAGACACTGCATTTCCAGGATTTGTACTACCAATCAATTCTTCACGAAATGCCCGCCAAGTCAAACATTTTTCTGGCCAAGAGAGAACGTAGCAAGTTACCCTCGCATCCTCAGCACTGTATGTATCTCTAAGGTAAGGGTAAAAACCATTTATTACGAAAACTCCCTCATTACAAAAGTGAGCCACATACGCCCCAGCAGTGAGTTTAACAGTCTTTGCACATGATCCCCACATAGCATAAAGTTCATCAGAGGATATTTCTCCAAGGACATGCAAAGCAGTTTCAGCATTCCATACACGTCCGCATTTTAATGCTTCTTTCCAAGAAATACCAAAAACTTCCTTAAATATAGCTCTATTCTGTACACTAACGTTAATACTTGACGGTGATACTTTGACAGCATAGCGAGCTATTGTTCCATAATGTTTGTCCATCACTTGTCGTGAAGCAATCTCTTTACCCATAACATGGCGGTGACTAACAATTTGCATTCCTTCAACTTGCATTAAACGTTCCTCCACAAGGGCACGAGTTTCAGGTGTATTAGCATGTGGTTTCACAAATACTAAAGCTCTGTTTCGTCGTTCTTCAGCATCTTCATCCTCCAAAACAATAGTCCAATCAGCCGAAGGCGAAGTTGTATCAGATTCCCCATAACCAATAGATGATTTATTTATTTTCTTCTGTTTTTCCATTGCGAAAATAATTGCAGCATGATGAAGTACCTCGCTACTTTGCATATTCTCCAAAAGTTCAAATACTGATCGAGTTTCCCCTCTATATGTTAAGATAGGATTTTTCACGAGTTTTTCCAAAAATTCTAGCGAAATACCCTCCCGTAGCAATGCACGACCATAATCATCCTCAGTTGCACGTCGATGCATCCAAACAAATCGTTGTGCCAAAGCTTCAAGAGGACCACTTGAAGATTCCAGGCCGTTATTCATAAGACTTGGCTGTTCATCTAATCCATATGTTTCCCAATTATCATACAACAGGCGACGAAGAGAAGTGGATTCCGCTTCACGTGGATCAGCTGCACCAAGTACTTCTAAACGAAAACGTTTCCAAGAATATTTTGCTTCCGGCCATGAAAGAAGAAGAATACACGTTTGACTTTCGGGAGCAGTAAAAGAATCAAGCAACGCTGGGTAAAACCCATTTATCAGGTACATTTGTTCCTCCTGTAAATAAGATACATAGAAGCCGTGTTCAAGCCGAGCACGCGATTTTGAAGCCCACCAACGTACACTAAGCTCTTCCGGCGTAAGACCAAGAATAGTCATGGCATCCTCTGGTGTGAGAACCCGTCGCTGCTCCACCACAGTTTCCCACAGTTCACCAAAGGCACCAAAGAAAAGGGATGCCGTCTCCTCTGAGACATAAACAGTCAAATCTTCGGACGGGCAAGCGGAAACAGCAGCTACTGAGCTGTAATGGCGTTCGACATATGCTCCTCGACGAACCTGTTGTCCCGTCAAAAGCAACATGTCATCCACACGAATCCCATAATAATCAAAATGATCACGCGCAACATCGAGGAACCTCTCCCGACATGCATGCGGTTTAATCAATACCAATGTTGTATTCATCCTTGTTTCCAATCCACTGATCAACCTGCCTGAAAGTATTAGAAAAACTGTACAAAACAAAAGAAAGGAAAAGAAAAGATTTATGTGTCACAGAAGCATAGTAACGGTATTAGGGAAGAATAACATAATATCCTGAGAATTTTAAAATCCTTTTCTTCTTCTTCTTCTTCCTCTTCTTCTCTCTCTCTCTATTTGAATCTAAGCACTATGGCATTTCTAAATGGAACTCAATAAAAATAAAATAAAAAAACACGAATCATCTACGTATACTAAGTACGGAGTTGAGGGAAGTGAGGGGGTAAAACAAACTCCTCTCATTAGAGTTTTAAAAAAGAAAATCCATACACACACATACTCACATATATATATATACAGTGTCTATTATGGATATGTTTGTGCTTATGTGGGTGTGATTCTTCCTTTTTCATCTGTGCGTATTTGTATATTTGTTATTCATTCTCTAGTCAAATTATTATTATTATCATCATCATCTTTTTCTGTTCACTCTGTTTATCAGAGGCATTGTAACGCTGTTTCGTACTCCTGATAGAGTGTATTCATGTCGGAGGGAATGACTGTCATGGTATTCTTCAGTTGAATCAAATAGTTAGCAACTTGTGTGGGCTCTGTTGTCATCATCATGAGTCGATGCAATTCAGCAAGCTGATCCTGTTGTAAATGCTGCGAAAGTTCATTTTCGAGTAACAAGCTAACTATCATTGACACATCCTGTCCATGATATATACGTGTACCTTTGCGAGTACCCCCATCATCCTCTATCATGGGGATCGTGCGACCGGCATTTCGATCCACAAACATACTGAAATCAATGAGTTTCTCCCAATGTACAGGAACAAGCAACGCCACTGGCATATCGGAAGGGCTTCCAGGAGTTCGAATAGCGAAAAATAAATGATTTAAACCTCTTAAATTACCATGAATAGTGCGTTTCACTACAAGATCTGAAAGCATCCGCAGCATGAGCTTCACACAAGTCGGAAAGGAACGTTCGGATAAAGGTACAGTAGAAAGTGGAATGGCGCGGTATCCAGCTGGCATGATAATGGCTGTTAACCCGCCATCACGGTAACGATAGCCAACGACTGTCACTGCAGGAGCAACGAGGGAGAGACCAAGCGCCGCACGGTATGCCTCATTCACCTGCTGCTGGACCGCACGTACACTCCATCTGTAGAGAAGCACTTGCAGAGGAGTTGTGGTATTATTCTCTGGTAATAGTGTATCCCCGCACTCATACGCCTCGTACACGTCAGCGGAGGTGTGGTAGCGGAGAATACGGCATCGACGTTCCCCCAATACCACCTCAGCACCAGGAAGTAAATGTGGTGTAACTCCATCAATATCGCAGAAATCCCCACTACTACAGTGAGCTTCCAAGTTGGCTGCGATAAGTGGTGCTACAATTGAAGCTGGTATCATCTCGCTTTGAAAACCATATGCTTGAGTCGGAATTGGTTTTGCATGTTCAACAGTACGTCGCATGATTGTTGTGCGGCCAGGGAGAAACAGTTGCTTTGTCGTACGAAACTCAGATGGCCGTACGGTCGTTAACCGCAATGGATCTGTACCAGCTGTTGTGTCAAGTGTCTCTCGTGTGTTACCAACAGCGTCGTCAGGTGTTAGAGTATCTCCAGTACCGAATTGCAGCGGAGACGCCGTGCTGCTGCGCTGCGGTGGCGGTGGAAGTACCTGGAAGGTGGTAGAAGTCTCTGTTGAATGAACCATATTGGTATTTACATCATTGTCTAAGAAGTGTCGTAAAGTAAATGCGGCAGAGTGCTGACCATTTGATACAAGTGTTTTTCCCTGCTCCTGTTCTTGTTGTTGTTGTTGTCGTGGTGGTGGGGGTACGTTTGCACTCCAAGCTCCTGGTGATTTCACGCACGAATTTAACCGGCTGTCACGATAAATAGAAAAACTTGACCCGCGTGAGGGCTGAACAGTAGTGTTTGTACCTTGTGGTGATGAAACTGTTACAGGAGAGAACTGGTTAGACGAAGCAGATACATCAATATCATCATCCTCCTCCTCCTCATCTCCTAAAGGAAAAGCAACGAACGGAGTTGGACGATAGACACTACTACCTTGTTTTTGTTCTCGTTGCTGTTGATACTGTACTGCTGATGATGACTCATCAGTGGTATCGTCAAATGTTATCTCTGTGCTAAGACGTACTCCCGACTTCCGTGTCATATCTCCCCCTTGTTCAACTCGCCGCATCTCCTGTTGTACTTCCATCTCTAGAATCTGATACAATACGCAGAGCTCACGCCCGAAACGATCGTATAGTGGATACTTTGAGCAGAATTGCACGTTGGGGTCTCGTGAACGCAGTGCTTCGCTCATTCCACCTTTTGTTGTTAAGGACGAAGTAGTCGTAACACTAGCACTAGTAGTAGTGGGAGAAGGACCGTCTTTCTCACGCATATATTCTTGCAGTGACAAACGCTTGATGTGTGTCCTGTCAAAACCGTATACAGCCTCATATGGCGACTGCATCTTTTGCACACAAGACTTCTCTGTTTATTTCCCCCTTTTTTTTTAATTTTTCCTTCTCTCTTTCTCTCTTCACGGCCTTCGTTTTTCCACCTGTATTTCTGCTATTCTCAAGAACAAAAAGGACACGAAAAAAAAAAGAAAGACACACACGCACAGAGGAAAATAAAAATAAATTAAGGATGGGTGGAAACGAAAAACAGAAATAAAAAAGGCATCACGACCAGGAACATTTTCAATACCAATGCATTGGACTTCAAAATAAGCATGCCTACGCCCACACACATGCATACCACTATATATCGGGGTATATAATTATGCATATGTGCAAAAAAAGAGAGAAAGAGAGAGAGTGAGTGAGTGAGTTAGTGAGTGCCAACAAGGAAAAAAAAAAAAGAATCCTTGAAAAAAAAATGCAGCACTGAAAAATGAAAGGGGACGAAAACAAAAAGAAAGAAAAAAAAAAACTTTGAGTGAAACCGCAAAGGTTCTTTTTTTCTTTCCTCATTCTATCCAATTGGTGGGGAACTTCGACGCATTATTGTTGCACGAATTAACTCGCGGCACTCCGTATAGGAAAGCATACCTGCCCCCAACTCTCGCATGGCGTGCTGCACATCTCGTGTTGCCGGTAAGTCTGAACGCATTGTGTCATCCGCCTTTAAATAAGAAGATCCTCCATCTTTAACACCATCTAAATGTGAGAGCCACCGCACCGCCTTTGCATCCCACATATCTACTGCTGTACTTTCTGGTTTAACGCTGCACCAACATGTCTCTGATTTTGTGTTATCATCATTGGGATTATGGCATGAAAGCGCTGTCATCTCACGCCGCAGCGAAAAGAGGTGAGCCACCATTGGACAGAGCAAACACATCACATGCGCTGGTGAGACGACAACATGGGCAAAACTAGTGATGGGTTCGGAATCATTCCCGTGATCCTGGTAGTGTTGATAGCTGGTGGGTGTAGCAGGACGCAGAGACATGGGCGATTTTCCACCCATGCGTGTGCACGCGGATGGAGCGAAGAGCAATGCCACGACCCTCAACATTCGCAACATGCGTGGGATACGAGTGGGGATGTAACTTCCCGGCGCGCTGTTTTTTAGCATGGATCCACGCAGCACAAGAATGAGATGTCTCAAGTAATGTATCACCTCTGCAGAGAGTGTCACTGTGTCGATGAGGGCGGCGCCATCAGGTGCGAGCATCACCTCCAACATGTGTCGTTTATTTACAACGTTAGAACTCTGCGTGTCAGCGGACTGAATCACCGCGGCGCTTTCCATAGCTAAACTTGACATGTATGTTGAGAGTGCAAAAGCACTGCGGACGTGTTCAGGTAACACCGCAGCGTATGCACGTGCATCGCAGAAGGCAACAATACGCAGCGATGGCACGGCTCGCACTGTTCCGGTCACACGCACAAGACCGAAGAGTAACACATCAAGTAGCGCAGCAAGCACTGGCGGTGAGGCAGCCGCAATATCATGTACACACACCACCGTCGGGTGGCCATTCATACTACTTCCACCACCAAAACCAAGACCATTACTAGTATTCGTCGTAGCATTGGCAGTAGTGCCGCCCATTGTAGGTGTTATACAAATGTTGCTATTGTTGTTGTTGTTAGTAGTGCTGATACTGTTATTGTTGTTGCTGGTGCTATTGTTGTTGTTGTTGTTATTGTTATTCGTCGTGCTGTTGCTAGTGCCTGTGGCTGCGGCCTCTGCGCGGGCGAGAAATCCGCAGAAGGCGTCTCGTCGCGTGTGTTCTGTGAGGCGCAATTCCAAGTACGTTGGGCCCTTCGGCATGGACGTTGCGGTGCCACTGCCGGCCCCGTCGTGCAGCACGAGAAGATGCGCCCCCGGCACGCAGCAGCAGAGTGAGACCAACACGTACAACTGCCGGCACTCGCAGAGCACAGGGTGTTGAGTTGCCGGCCATTGCGCGGCCAGCGGGTCGGGGAAACAAGTGTTGATGGAAGGCCACATCCAGCGGGCCTTAGCGGTGGCAGGCACACACGTAAGTGAGAGTGAGAGAAAAGAAAAGAAAGGAAAAGAGAAAGTGAATATATGGAAATAGGTGTATAGAGAAATAAAGGGAGCGGAAAGGCGACAGTAAAATAACAGAAAGAAAAAAAACAGGGGTCATAAAACAAAAAAAAAAAAAAAAAAAACGGAAGGTACAGAGTGAGAGATGCACAACACCCTACTTACATGGAGATCATCCTGTATGTGGGGCAGGGCGCAACAAAGAAGAAAAAAAAAAAAAAAGCAAAAAAAGTGCATCTACTAAAAGCGGGGAATAGACTGTAAATAGGAAAGAAAGGGAAAAACAGGAGAAAAAGAAAAATACGCAGCTGATAGCTACATCCCGCCATAAGCATACTACTTTACAACTCGTCAGCATCCTCAATAGGCGAAGCCATTTCATAGTCTCCTTCTAATTCAACATTTGGTTCAGCACTTCCACGACGATGGCGATGACGACGACGACGATGATGACGACGGTGAGTCTGATCATCCTCCTCCTCCTCTATTTCATCTTCTATTTCTGCCTCTCCCACACCCTCATCAGCCTCAATCTCATACGGCTCCGGTTCCTCAAGCGCATCCGCATCTATGAACACGGCACCATTTTCCTCCTCGTCATCTTCGTTGCTCTTATTGTGGTAGCTCCTGTCGATTTCACCCTCATGATGACGATGGCGTCGTCTCTTGTGATGTCGGTGACGCTTTTTCTTCTCATTTGGTGATACCCCCACTAACTCACCGCCATCGTCTGCTTCCATCAGGTAAGTGTCATCTCCAAACTGATTCCATAACTGTTCTTCGTGATCACGGTTATCAAAGATGTCGACAAAGGCATCCCCACTAAGTCCTACATGCTTACCATCAATAAATGGTCCTTCATCTAACTCATATTGACCCTGCTCGTAATGACGTTGCGGTGGTGGTGGCGGTGGTGGTGGCTGCAGTACCTGTCGACGCCACAAGAGACCTCCCTCGTCAAGATCAGATTCACGTTCAAAGTATGTGCACATTTGTTCATATTGCTCTTCCTTCGCACGTTCTGCGAATCGCCGTCGCATCTCCTCTACTTGAGCTTCATAGTCTGCCTCTGTCATGAGTGCGTAACTCCTCACAATACGTACTTTTTCACCCCTCGCCAGTGCTTCACGTGCTTCTTTTAAGATTGTCTCTCGTGCTGTTGTGTGAATGCGTAGGGCAGCCTTATCTGTAGTGCACATCAGACCGTGTTTCTCCCATGGAACACTTGATGCCGAAAGTAACACTGTTGCAGAATCACATGAGTGCCATGAAAGCACTACAATCCCTGCAATATAGAGAGCAAGATTCACTACAGCAGCAGCAAAAGCCCATTCAAGAGGGGTATCAAAGAGATGAAGTGAATCGTACTCTGACATGAGTAACATCGTATTATTCTCCGAACCCAACGTCGTCACACAATAGAGCACCGCATCTGAGTAGAATGTCCGTGTGGGATAGACCACCCATGATAACACAATAAGGGCAATACAATACAAAATAGAAATAGTTGCACTTACATGATAGACTGGTACATGCAGACCAATCACGCGTAGATGCCGCCTCCCTGCTGAGTAGCCCATTATGCCAAGTGCATTGTTCACTATCGCCAGAAATTCTACAACAAGAATAGCAAGAATATATTGAGTCATATACAACAGCACAGCAGGCAATGAACCTTCCGTCACCTCCACTTTGCTGCGTACTCCTCCAACGTTAAGCATTCCTGAGTAGTTGCATGAGTTCATGACAAGCGCTAACTGTGGTGACAAGGAAACTTCACTTCGAGTGAAGTAGTCAGGGAGGCTCGATTGTAATCGAATGTAGTATTCTGTCATTAGCACAACAAAACTCATAGCGTGAATGACATTGCCCAATTGGTACAGTGCTTTAAACAGACGTTCTACAGTTTGTCGTGGGTAAACAGCGCTAGGAAGTACAAAGAACATAAATCCAAATAGAAGAAGCTAAAAAAAAAAAGGATACCCGTTCCCTATCAAAGTTCCTTTGCTATTATTACTACTGCTGTCCTTTCTGTTCTTTTTTGACTATAATTATTATTATGATGTTTTTTTTTTTTTTGTTTCCCGCCTTTACTGTCTCTATTCTCTTTCAGTTATGACAACAAAATTTGTTATCACTGAAGAAGAAGAATAGAAAAAAAAAAGACATGAAAACACGAAAAAAAAATAAAGAAGAAAATTACATTATTTTATCCAACTGATTCTATACCAAGCACAATAATATAATACAATACATTTCAAGAGGTTTAAATAATAATAATAATAATAATAAATATATATATAGAAACAGCAACATCAGCATCAGCATTAGTAAAATTCTGTATTCAATCTCCAAGAACATCAAGACTGGTAATACTCAATCTTTCCAACAGCACAACTACTTATAGGTATCGTTCCAGAAGTAGTAATAGTAACTGCAATGTACAGTTAGTATAAATAAACCAGTAAAGCGCTTGTTCTTTCTTTTTTCTTCTTTTCCTTTAGATGCTGCATCACTTGCGACGTCGCTGCTTTGAAATTCTCCATGAGTTTCCACTCTCCCAGCCACGCAGAATAGGATTAAGTCGCTCTGCCTTTTGTTCCTTTGTTAACTTACCCTTTCGTGGTCTCGTGTAGAAGGCCGGGGCTAACTCTACCAACCACTGTGGTTCAATTACCAGCAGTTCACGCATGTATTCCCGATTTGTCAGCTGAAGTTCATTATACAGCAAGAACTTTGGTGGTGTGTCTCGCAGACAGGAAGAGGGATGTACATATACCTCTCGACGTTCTGCCAGTGTAGCGTAGGCCACATCTGTTATTCGTCTTGCGGCATTGAAAAAGTACCCGGCAGTGAGAGCGCGGCGCACTTCTGTTAATGCATCATCGTTGTGATGAGGAATAGTAGCGTGACGCTTATGCAACATCTCACTCAACTGTTCACGTGTGTCGCGGGCCTCCATGAGAATGCGGTGCTTGAGAAAGTTGCGTTTACACCACTCCTCACTGAGTCCATTCGCCACCCAAGCGTCGTAGACCGCCAGTAGTGTAATTTGATCGCCTTCGGGTTGATGGAACTGTCGTTTCGCAGCATCGGCAGCCTCGTGTTGATCGCGTGGGCGATAAAAGACGCCACGCTTCTGTACGGCGAGCATAGACACAATTGTCAATACGGGTTCACAACAACCAAAATCAATTGCAGTGAGAAGTGTCTTACTCTGTGAGGGATCAATGGGGAGTTGTGCCATTCGTCCACCAAGTGGTGTGAGAAGTCCATCATCATCTAATGCTTCAAGATAGCGCAGTTTCTGCAGTGCCAACACGAGTGTCTCCTGCGGTGGTGGATCCATCAGATCAAGTGCGAAAAGATCATTAATACCCATCGCCTTTAGTTGCAGCACAACGTGAAACATATTTGAGCGTTGAATGTCTGGCACAGTGGCGGGTTCCATGTCCTTTCGGAACTGCGGCTCTGTATACATGCGGAAACACTTACCAGGACCAACACGTCCCGCACGTCCCGCTCGCTGTTGGGCTTGTGCCTGTGAAATGGGAACAATCTTCAGTTGCTCCATCCCGGTCTTTGCATCAAAGACGTTCTGCTTGCAGAAACCACTATCGACAACATAACAGAGATTGCTAATGGTGATGGATGTTTCGGCAACATTCGTGGCGAGTACAACTTTACGGCAGCGGGGCGGAGTCGGTTCAAACACACGTGATTGCACCTCCTGCGGCAGTGTGGCTGTGAGCGGCAATACCAACATATCGGGCACTGGCACTTCACTGAGGGCGCGCAGCTTTTCCATCCATCGAAACAGCCGCTCGCCGCCGAGCTCAATCTCCTCCTGTCCCGTTAAGAACACCAACACATCACCCGGGGGCTCCTCAAGGTGCAACTTCATCACCGTCTTGAGTGCGCAATCGAGGTAGTCCTCTGTTGGTTCAGCAAGATAATTCACTTGGACAGGAAACGTACGTCCCTCAATAAAGAAAACATCTCTAACATTAAAGTATGAGCAGAATTTTTCTTTTTCAAGGGTAGCGGAGGTAATAATTACTTTTAATGAGGGTCGCTTATGTGTCGCATTACGCACAATAGCAAATAATAAATCAGTATTCACAGACCGCTCATGTGCCTCATCAAGAATGATAACACTGTATCGCTGAAATGTATCATCCAGTAAAGCCTCTCGCAACAACATACCATCTGTCATGTATTTAATCTTTGTCAATGATGATGTGACATCACGGAAACGAACGGTGTATCCAACTTCTTCACCTAAACGACAACCATACTCTTCTGCAACACGAATGGCAAGTGTTTCTGCCGCCACACGCCTCGGTTGTGTACAACAAATAATACCACGCTTGCTGTATCCATGTTCAGCGAGGTACTGTGGAATCTGTGTGGTCTTACCACTACCTGTTTCTCCAACCAAAACAGTCACTGTGTGGTCATCCACATGCTGAAGAAAACGGTCACGGTAAGCGTATATAGGAAGTGAACGGCGCTGCTCTGCGAGACTCTGTGATGTCTGCAGTGGACCAAATCGTGGACGTTCACCAAAATTGTGTTTCATCCATGGTGGAAGTCTAGAAGGTAAATCCTTTGCGGAGCGGAATCCCCCAAGCCGTTCCTCCGGTCGTTCAAGTAACTCATGATCAAGAAGAGTATTTCCCTCATCCCTGTTGTATCTATTTCCATTATCACCATCATCCTCACCCTCTCCAGCATCCTCATCTTCATCCCTGTTGCCAGTCCTATTGTTACCTTTATTATTACCACCCAATCCTTCACGTGCCTGTTCAGATAATCGCTGCAGACGCCGCTCCCTCGCACGAAGTATCTGTCGATCCTTGTTGCGAAGTTGTTGTGCCAACGCAGCTCGCTTCATACTGTTCGTCTCATTCTCATCTGCATTCTCCTGCTGCACAGCACGCCGTGCAAGAATAGCCTCCCGCTGTGCTGGTGTACTGGCACGCATTAACTGCTCTGAAGGAAGCAACGCGCGGTAGTTGATGGGTTTGTGCCGCACTAATCCACGAAGAAATTGTGGTTCCTCTTCATTCAGTTCCACTTGTTCATCCTCTTCCTCATCTGTGCGCAGTTGGAGAAGCTCTGATTCATCCAACATCCCACTACGCACCAACTGTGCAAGTTGCATCTTCTCTTCTGCCCGCACTTTCATCGCCGCACGGCGCTCCGCCGCGTCGGTTTCGAGACTCTCAAGTGCTCTATTGTCATTCGCATCTCGCTGTGCGGCTGCGGCTTCTTGCAACATTTTCTTCTGCAGCGCCTCCTCCGCCTCGCGACGGTCGCGTTCTGCAATCGCAAAGGTGCCGGCAGCGAGACACTTGTGCCAATCCACATCCCGCAGATGTGCCCGCATAAATCGCAGGAGTGTGCGCAACTGCGATGAGGGAATAGCGGGTTCCTCCCCGTCCTCCTCACTGTTCTTTTTCGCTTTCTCATTCTCCTCCTCTCTCTCGCTCGCACCATCGCCGTTCACAGCAGCATCCAGTGCGGCGAGGAGTAATTCCTCATCACACACCTTTTCGCTCTCACGAAGGAAGAGCGCCACCAACTCATCCACGTCGTCGTAAAACTCCTCCGCCTGCCCTTCGCTCTCTGGGCGACCCAGCAGGTGCTCCAGTTTACGATATAGCTCATTCTTAGTGTAGATCTGCTGCAGCTCCTGCACTATTAAAAGTTCCTCCTCCATATTCTTTCTTCTTGTTGTTAATCCACACCCACACTCCCCTTTTCGTTTTTTTTTTCCTTTTTTTTTTCTTCCTCCCTTTAGTTTATCACCTTCACGTCACTCAATCCCCTCTTTTCTCGTCGTCGTGACTGTTAATCCTTTTCTTTTCTTTTGTTTTGTTTTGTTTTTTAATTGGAAAGGGTGAAGGGATGTATAGTGTGTCTGTCTGTGACTACCACCACACTATACCACAGGAGAACACTGGTATTACCAAAAAAAAAAAGAAGAAAAACATTAAGAGAGAAAAACAATAAGAGAGAAAAACAATAAGAGAGAAAAAACTGCGCACAGGGACTCTTAACACATTAAGTATCAGTAGAGGAAGTAAAGTTTCTCTTAAATATATATATATATATATATTTGGTATATTTATTTTCTTTTTTTTTTGTGCTGTACGAATTTATTTTGTTTTTGTTCTTTGCACTCAGTTCTTCCCATCATCTTATTTCCCATCACCTTTGGTTTTACCGGTGTAAAAGAACAAAACTTGCAAGAGCCGTACAATCAAAACGCATACGACGGCATTTATACTCTGGAGTAATAAAAAAAAAAAATAGAGAAAGGGTGTAAAAGAAAAAAAAAAAAAAAACAACAAAAAGATAGTTCTATCAATGTCACATGGAGACACGATCAAAAAAAAGAAAAAAAAAACAGAATAATACCGCAAGGAGGACGGAAAAGTGGTATACCCGTACATCTTGGTAGTCACCACAGTTCCATTACCTCTTGATATTTTGGCTTATTGGAGTCCTTATTCATCCTGGACCCGTTCAGCACACTAAGAAATAACTCATCATATACACCTACTGGGGGGATACAGAAACATACGCATACACATATACATAAACATACATATAAATAAATACATACAGGGGTGAGAAAAATGTTTTATTTCCTTCTTTTTCACAACCATTCTTCAGGAACACTTAGTTTCCTTACTTTGCTTCCCTTTGTTCTGTTTTTTTTTTTTTTTTTCACTCTCTCGACTCCTTTCCTTTACTTTTGGAAAGGGTTTTTTTTTTTCTTTACTTTTTTTCCTCTTTTTTTTTTCTTTTTGAGTTCTCAGTGTTTTTTTTTTTTTTCCACTTTAATTGCGTACATCTACAATTCAGCTCGCTATAGGGACGTGGAAGGAATATTCATTCCCCTCCCACCCACAGTCCTCTCTCAATTATTTTTTTCTTTTTTATTTCATCAACTTCTACTTTTTTTTTTTTTTCTCATCTCCTCACCACTCATCATGACTATTTCAACACGTTCACTCTACTGCCATTACCATTTCCTCTCGCCTCATGAACCATTATTATTATTATTATTATTATTATTATTATTATTATTATTATTATTGTCGGTCTCCTCTTCGGGAACAAACTTTGCCACCATTTCACGATGACGGCGTGCGGGGTTGTTGTTTGGTGGAGAAACATCATCCACATCGTCGGGGTCGGGGCCTTTCAATAATGCCAATCGCTTCGGGGCGGCCGCCGCCTTTACTTTTTCCATCTTCACAAACCCGTACGCACTGCGGCCTTCATTCAGCAGATCGCCAATCTCAATCAGTTTGTCCACATTCACCGTCCATAGTAGTCCAAACACGGTATGTTCACCCTCAAACAACTCCACCATCTGTGTTTCCGGGTTGTAAGACTTGACAAGAGCAACACTTCTTCCCCAGTATTCTACATCGTGGGCCTTGGCCGTATCGTAGTTAAGAAGCAACACAGAGTTGTTGCCCTCACTCCGCGTGGCATCACGTAGAATCGTGTCAAGATCATCCACGTCAATGTCATCAAGAAGTTCCACATGTACAGTATCCGTATCTTCACCAGCGTTGCTTTTGAGACCATTCATATTACCGTCCGTACGCTTTAACATATTTGTCTTTCCACTCTTTGCTGGTTTACGGGACTCCAGAAACATGCGGCAAACCTGTGCAAGGAATCGGGCATCAATTTGTTTGTTAATGACGGATAAGGAAACATCAACATCACGCCATGCGAAGGCTTGACTTCCACGTCGTCGTTGATCATCCATCGTCTTAAGGTATGCTTCATAAAAAATCTCTTCCGGTGAGTAAAAGAATCCAAGTTGAGCAAAAGCAAACGATAAAGCCTGAAAGTGTGGTGATGGACTTACGTGAAAGACGTTCTGTACAGGTACAATATACAATTGCATTTCCCGTGTATACTCTGGTGGAAATTGTGGTTCCAGTGGTGTTGTACGTCGTGTTAACACAATACAGCCACTACGTCGATGTCTCCAATCTTTATCATGTAAGGCACGGTAGAGTGACTGCAGCGGTACGGGCCATGTGCGGAAGTAACCGTGTGGATTAGTGTCCATAATAGTAACACTCTCCGTCCTGGCACAATAACCAACAAGAAGACCAGTAGAACCGAATGGGTGAGAATCGCCAAAGACTTCAATATTATCTGGGCTATACAACATAATAAAGGCCTTGTTGCTATTTCGTGATCCTTCCTCAATAAGTTTCTTAAAGTCCTCCCATGGAAGTCGTGGTCGTCCACCACTGCACTTGTCTGTATGATATGTCTGCACATCCATCTCAAGTCCAACCTCCGCAAGATATGTTGTCAGACACACCGCCACAGACTCCAGCGTAAAGTAACGCAACATTAATGCAGAGGTTTCAAAGGGAAGTGTCATAAAAACATCTTCAAAGGTAGTTTGTTCCCCTAACTTAGTTAGTGCAAGTGCAATCATTGTCGCACTTAATGGTAACGATGGAAATGTAAACGTTTTCACAACATCAATAGGTGAAACGTCAAGAGTTTCTTGTTCATGTAAAAGTTCGAGACGATTTTGAACAGTTGAGGCAATACGACGAGGAGCACCAACAAGTGCGGGATCAGATTTATATCCAAGTAATTGTGAACCGCCGCATGCACTGCTGTCACTTGATTTACGACGTGATGCCGCCTCACGAGACTTGGAAAAGATAATATAACCATTAGATGTCATTGCTTTATGTAAACGGTCAAGAGGACATGTCCATGTCTGTAAAAAGGTTTTAGGATGGGCATCAATAAGAAGTGCCGTTTGAGTTTCCTGATCATAGCCAGCGAGAATACACCACTGTGGTTGAGTTGTGATGTAAAGCACATTATGTGCCACATTGGCATTATACATGATAACCATGATATGTTCGGGAACCTCTGGATCTTCATTTGCGTTTTTCACATCAATAATAATAGACTCCAAATCAAAAACAGAAATAGTGGGAACAGCATCTTCACGTGAAATCTTTGTTAAGACCGGATATACAGCAACATTATAGTTGCGATTTGTAATATGCACATACTCCCGTGCGTATTTAAATACCTCCTCTAATGGTAAACCACCATCAATAAACACTTCAGCTGGAAAATGCATTTTACGAATAATATCTGAGACTGGTAGTCCATTACCATAACCATGCGCATTCGGTCTTACACCACCAAGAAGATGCATCGCCCATGCAACAGCCACAATATGTGGACTGATGTGTGTAGATATAACAGATGCATGTGTACCTTGTAGAATTGTGCCAATCACCTTTCCACTGCTTAGTTCGGGTGAAAACATAAGTTGCACTTCATCATGTGTCATGACCGGCACACTGTCTTTTCGGAATACACGAATAAATCCTCGAGCACGTTCACCCTCCTTAGCGACGGTCATCGCCTTAAAGAGAGCCGCAGCTGGAACCTCCATTAGTCTCACGCCTAGTTCACTCCCCACAATACCTTCAGCAAGTGTTACCATTAACCGCACCACATAACGCACATCCACAATAACAGCGTAGGCACCATTGTTGTTCTTTGTGTGACGTCGTGGACGGTGCCGTGGACTCACAAGAACAGATGCGGTTAATCCAGAGCTGCCTTCGTCCTCATCATCAAAGGCGTCCACAATTGTTTCTTGTTCCAATACATAAGGATCATAATTAACAATGCGAATCACCTGTGTTTCTTCTTCACAGTCGTGTGTGATGGCTTTGGTAAACTCTGGTAACTGCATTCGTGTTTGTCGATCTCCAACCTCATTTCCACCGAGTTCAACTTGACCGAGAGTTGGAGAAATATCAAGGTGCATTACAGAAAGACCATATTCGTTTTTAAAACGATTATCCACATCAATAAACTCCCGAATGATATCTGTCATGACGGGAAGTGAAAGTACACCACCGTGAAGGTAGTGTAATGGTACATGGGCGGCAAAAAAGATATCTTCTACAGTGACTCGTTTTTTACGGTCTTTACATCCCTTTTCACCACCAAGTAGATAAGAAAGTGCCACAGCTGTCGTACCAAAGTCACCGCAATCTTCTATGACTTTATCATCTGTTAGTTCTCCCTCATAGGATTTGAAGAAAGCAGTACGTGCCCTTCGAATTTCCATTACTTGTTGACGGTTATACTTCTGTTGATGTCCAGTAGAGGAAGCTCCCTTGGAGACATCCACACTGCTATTATTATTATTTGTAGCATATGAGACACCCATATTCATTCCACGTGGACTTCCTTCCGTAGGGGAATGACTTTGCCTTGCTGATTGTTGTAGTGGAGGAGGATGTGGTGGTTGTGGTGCCAGTACGGGTGGCATTGGTTGTGCATGTAAATGCGGTTGGGTTTGAGATGGTGATGGTAATTGTGGTTGCGGCGGCATGAGACCAGTACCGAAGGAGACTTGAGATGAGCGTCGCCCCCCACGCAGCGAAGGCTCTAAACCGTCTTCTTCACTCTGGCGATGATCACATACGGGGCCGGAAGTGGAGTAAATCCGATCGTGCTCGATCATTCGACGATTGGCGCGAGTCACCTGTTCGAGTTCAGCAAGTGCAGTCTCCCATTTCCCCAGATGTGCTTCTATCGCCGCGTTTGCTTGGGACTGGCCACCTCCCATTTGTGCGAAATATCACTCCTTGTTTATTCTTCCTCTTTTTCTTCTTCTTTCCTTCTCTCCGCACGTGAGAGGATGCTAATATGAAAGAAAATACACAACCTTTTATGTGTGTGTGTGTCCGTTCGTTTATGTGATATGAGTTACTTGATTCTCAAATACTATGGAACACCAAATGAGAAAAAAAAAGGGGGGGACAGAGAAGAAAATAAAATAAATAATAATAATATATATACATCGCATATACTTTGATTTCTCTCACTCTATAAGTGCATTTATGAGTGAGATAAAATGTATAGGATGAACAAAGTAAAGTGGATCTCCACCTAATTGAGGGGAGAGCGCAGATGTAGAGAAAGATTTTAAAAATATATAAATATTGACATTACTTCACTAAGAAAAACCCTATATATGCACGTATCAATGCACTGCAAGAAATATCTAATTCACACAGATTCATACCCTTTTTTTCCCCCTTTCTCCCACCACTTTTCCTTATTTTTTTTTTTTATTTACTCTAATTAGTCAATTTTGAAACCAGGTGTCTAAATAGTTCCTTAGTGTCATTCGCTGCGCGACGAGGGATGGTGGATCCGAAGAAGACGGCTCACTCAAATCCCCGCAGTGCCCACACCCGTTACACTGTGCTATTAATACTGGGTACTCCTCGTTAAGTGTCTCTGTCACGCCAGCAGGCAACCAGGGATCATCCGAACCTTGTGTTGCCACCACACGTGTAGCTGCAGGATGAGAGCCACCGTGTTTCTTATTGAAGGCAAAGGTATCAGGCAACTGCATCTCTCCGAATGCTGCGCGGCACTGTGAGATAAAGTATGAGGTGGTCACATCACTTAGTCGAAGACTACCCGGGTAACTTATTTGCCAATACGCCAGTTCTGAGCAGCATTGATACACCCATGCGTAGCTGGAATCCCACTGATCGCTGTACTTCGCGTTGGACAAACATTCAGTGCTGTAATAGCAATCACTTGTAAACGAGTCCCCCCAGAGTGACCTTACAAAATCACCATACTGTTTAAAAGGGTTACTCATGTTAACTGGTTGTAACGCCGAGCAAAGGTTATCCTTATACCCATACTGAACAGCCATTGCTGAACCATCAGCAAGCATCCATGCCATATCCGCTTTAGTGAAGTAATCTGGTGTACCAAAATCTTGCATCATACTTTTTCGCCGCACGGGATCATCATAGGCCACTGAAAACTCCTCAAATATTGAGCGAATGGCGACTGCACAAGCGGGTGGTAACACATCCAGTAAATGACCGTCAAATGCATTGTAGTCAAAGATGGCATTTACCACCCCGCTGCTGCTCCATGCGGCGAAGAAGTCATCCGGGAATGCGGTCCGCGCCCACGCACTCAGAGCCCCGGCGTAACTGCCACCCACGATGAGCCATTTCACCTTCTTTCCCAAGACCACCTGCTCTGCGTACTGTTTAAATGCCCGCAGGTCTGCAAGGGCGTTCGCCACGGTCAAGTGCTTCAACATACTGCGGTTTGTGAGTGGGGCCGGCATGCTATCGCCGTAGAAGCGGTGCTCGAGGGAGAAGACAGCGGCCCGCACAGCACGGCTGTACTTCAGCACCGCACCGTTCGGCACTCCAGAGGCCGGCCCCTCGCCATTCACATACAAAATCGCAGGCCCGTTCTGGTCGTCCCACGCGGTGCGGTCCACCCACCAGCGCTGCCGGAACTGACCGGCGGCGGGATCATTATGGTCGATGGCCTGGTCATAGTACTGCGCGCGGAGATCAGAAGTGGTAGTGTATTTATGTTTGTAACCCTCTTTTCGCTCTTGTCGTTGTTGTTCTTCTTCTTCTGGTTGTTGGTGTTGCTTGAGCGCCTCTAGGTAGACGAGACCACCTCTGGCACGTGGAGGAATGATAGAAGGGTGCACCGCTCCCTGCGCTGAAGCACTACACATCAAAAACAGCACTAGGAGCAGCATTCCCAGTGCAGACAATTTAAGGGGAGTACAGAAACGATAGTTCATTGCACTGATAAAGGCAACGGCAAAAAGTCTCGAGAGACAAGAAAAAAAAACAGTATGAATCCAATACGAGAAAAACAATACGTTACAGCCAAGTTCGGCTCCTTCTTCCGACCAATAAAAGTAAAAAAGACTGTTGTACAGTCCTATTACACTCCTAACCGCTACTAATATCCCCTATTTTTGCAAGAAGTGTCTCCCCCTGAAATAACAAATATGTGGAATAGCCTAAGCCTTACTTTCAAAAAACACAGCAGAGACAAGAGAAAAACAACATACATACATAACAAATAAAAAACCACCGAAAGAAATGTTTGACCCCAAAAACAGAGACATTTTTAGAAGCAGAGAGGAAAGTAATAGATAGATAGAGTAATAATCACGAATATAGAAGCAAGAACAATGAAAAGACAAGAAAAAAATCACTCTTTTTTTTTATGAAACAAAAAAAAAAACGTGACACTCAGCGTCGCTTACTTCTTGTATCATCAGGATCTACTAATCCGAGTACAAAATCGCCGATTAATGGCATCAGGCCCCCGGTAACCTCTGTACCTTCGCTGCAAGAACCTTGTGCACCGAGGCGTCGCTCCAGCTCACGTTCCTCTTGTTCCAGAGTTTCACTTAGCTCCTGCATCTCTGCCAGTTCACGATTGATGCTTTCGAACGCCGCTACTTCCCGCTCTAATTCCTCAGCTTGACGCTTGCGTAGAAGTTCGAGTTGCTGCTGCAACTCCGCCACTGTCGACATCCCTCACAACTATAGGAAAAAAAGAAAAAAAAATATGGAAGCCAAAAATAAATAAACAAATAAATATACAGAATACAAATTTCACTTCAATCTGTTTTAGCATATAGGTGGGTGAAAGAGAAAACAAAAAAAAAGAGCCACACAACCGACCCCAGCTCCATGCAGTCAATCCCTGCGTATTCTCACTAATATATATATCGACCTCGCATACATGATCTCGCAGTGTTTACTTGCGCAAAAATGCATAGAGTTCCGCATCCAGCGCCCAGAACGACCGCTTTTATGGGCCATTACGGGAGGAATGGGGGACGAAGGATAAAAAAGAACCAGATCCTGGTGATGGGAGAGAAACACATCTCACGTCGCTTTGGTGGTGCAGCTCACAACTGAAAGGTATGCTCAAAGTACACCGCGTAGCAGACGTTTCCGATACTGTTAAAATGAATTCGGCATACAGTAGAAGAGAGGAAAATAGAGGAAACAAAATGATGATCACAGGAAATGGTGTTTAAAGGTACCAGAGTATTTCTGCTGCTGTTGTGGCATCTCGGGGCAATGCACTAGGCATCCCTGGGCATATGTAGGCCCATCGGCGCCGGAAAGTTGACCCTCGCAAGTGTGTGTGTGTGTGTTCCTACTGCTGGTGCTGTCGATAGCACCTCAAGGCAATGCAAACTGTGGTCGCATAATAGAATAAATATCATCTCTGCTAAGCAGCAAAAAAAAAAAATAATAATAATAATAATAATAATAATAATAAAAGGTGTAAGAGAAAAGAAAAAGTAAAACATTGAAGTACAATAAGGACGTGCGTTCATCACCCTGAGAATGATGCTCGGCAACGATGAGAGGTATAGGAGAAATATATATACTGATTAGAATAGAAACAACACTTTTCCTTTGCATAACTACTACCCACTGGTATATCAAAACAAAAACATTCCCGCAGGAAGTCCATGACCTTATTGGACATTAACTCTCAAATCAGCAAAAAAAAGAAAAAAATGAAGTTGAGTTTAATCAGCAAAAGCACACTGCCTGTAATGATACTTATTCTATCCAAGTCCTTCTATCCACTATTTTCGTAAACTCTCCAACAAGAATCACAGTACATACCGGGATCATGGACTCGATCAGTTGTAGGCCATACGCGCACATCCTTTCTATTGCATTCGCTGCAGACACCATCCGAGTAATGCGATGCACGTTGTACTCTTGTGGAATGTCTAGCCTTCTTCACATCAGTTGGCTTGCTGCGAACAACGGGTTGTAGTGGCGCTTTTTTCTTGTCGATAGCCAACAATTCGTGTTTGCTGTGGGCATCGAGAAGCTCAAGAATCAGTGCATCATCCCGTAATACTGTTGGTATTTGTCTCTGCAGTGCCATATACACATTCTCATTTGTTTTAGAGCTGTCTGAAAAAACCTGCAGAATAGCATCCGCATGCCGCTCAAAAGTTTCCTTCTCTTCCAGAGTGTAGAAGGCTCGGTCATAAGCAAAGAAATATGCACCCCGCACTGCTCCAGGGACATCATCAGCAGGAATGCCAAGACGTCCTGCCAAACGCATTTTCTCTTCAGTTTCGAGAAAGCATGCGTGTAGCGATAGCAAAATTCTTTCTTTATCATCATTATCACTTTTCCCATCATCATGATCATCATCATCACCATCATCATCATGGTTGTCCTCATTTATGTCGTCTTCCTTGTCGTTGCTTTTCTTATCATCATCATTGTCCCTGTCCTCACTCTCCTTTCTGTTGGTATCATCGGCTTGATTCATGATGTCCTCGTCATTGCAAGCCTTCTCCTCGTTGTTGTTATTATTATTCTCCTTAACAGTGTCTTTCATGTCTCTGTGTTTTGCCTTCTTACTCAGGCTCTTGTTTCCGTCATCATCATCATGGTTGTCCTCATTTATGTCGTCTTCCTTGTCGTTGCTTTTCTTATTATCATCATTGTCCCTGTCCTCACTCTCCTTTCTGTTGGTATCATCGGCTTGATTTATGATGTCCTCGTCATTGCAAGCCTTCTCCTCGTTGTTGTTATTATTATTCTCCTTAACAGTGTCTTTCATGTCTCTGTGTTTTGCCTTCTTACTCAGGCTCTTGTTTCCGTCATCATCGTCAGGTTTGGCTTCGTTAACGTCGTCTTCCTTATCGTCGATTTCCTTATTATCATCTTTCTCCCTATCCTTGCTTTCGCTTCCGGTACTTGTCTTCAGTTCACTTGCTGTCTCATTCTCTTCTTGTAGTTTGGATTCCGTCGCATGTGTTGCTTTCATCTCTGTTGCTTCTGTGTCAGTCTGTTCTATCTCTTTCCCACCGCCGCCATTCGTTGTTTCGTCATGCTTTGTCCTGTGCCGATTCCTCCTTCTGACCCTCGTCCTCGGTTTTCTCAGACGCCTCGTCAACGTCCTGGCCTCTGCAACTGCCTCGAGCTCATTGCAGAGCGAGCGCAGTGAACGGGAGACCTCGTAGTAACCAAGCAGCTCCTCCCCATCACTGGGGCCATCGAAACCCCCAGCCGCATTGACACGGGCGGTGAAGAAGTTGTGGGCGTCTGCGAGCGGCATCGTCTCGACGCCTTCGCCGTAGACCGCGCGGTGGACGATCGCGGAGAGGGCTGCCGCGGCGTTGCGACGAACGTCGACGAGAAGTTTTTCCGGCGTCCCGCGGCGGACGTGTTGGAGGGCGCGAGGGAACTGCGCGTGGACAAAGGCGGCCTTCGCCGGCGAGAGATGCCGGCCGAGATTGCGGTCCGCCTCGTACGGGTCCTCCACACACAGACGATACCACACGCGATCCCGCGGCCGCGGCGCCACCACCTCCCACTCAATCGTCCACTTGAGTTCAGAGCGGCACACAGACCCGCCGGGCACACGCAGCGACACCACACGTGCATTCCACGCAAAGTTGCTGTAGTGGTGGAAGAAGCCAATCAATAACTCGCCAAGACGCAACGATGAATACGACGGGTCCTGCAGTGGCAACAGCGGCAGATACGTCACGTTATTCGCTTTCTCCGGTAACAGCGGCACGGAGGCTGGGTCGACAAACTCCACGGCAGCAACATGCAACAGATAGGATACCCACAGAACGTTCACGGCGTAGGAGGTGAGGAATCCCTTTATAGGGTTGTTGATGCCGCACCGTTTGCTCCACTTCTTCAGGAAGGCCGCACCAGCACGGACTTCGGGGCTCTGCATGAGATATAAACGCATGAGCCAGCTGTTACGCAGACCGAATGGTCGGAAACTGACGTCAAAGTCAAGAAAGAACATCTCCGGCAGGCAGCAGTCAGTCCTCCAGCTCCATGTCACATTTTCCAATTCATCCCGCCTTGCTTGTCTAAACGCTGCAACGGCGTCTAGTCCACTCTTGTAGCTGGCCGTTAGTTCACAATTTCCGGATTCCTCAACAATACCATGCATTTTTTGAACCTTGTGAATGAGACGTTTAAGAAAGATGTCATTCCTTTGAGGCTTAAACTCGTACTTAATCTTAAATTTATCGTCATACTGTGGAATATGTAGGGGTGGGCGTTCCTTCTGTACCCGCCTAACAACAGGTACACTTGCCCTGACAACTGGCTCCAATTCTTCAAAGAGAAAACCAACATCGCGCAACTTTCTAGTAGCAGCAAAAACAGCTCTACGTTCATCTTCAAGAATGTTTTTCCCTTCTTCCAGCTGTGCAGGATGTAAAATGACAAAGTCAGCATCACCTACACCATCCCAGGATCCATATGAGACGCAACTCCCGAAGAGAAATGTATGGGTAACAGGATAGATACCTCTCATAATTCTGTCAAGTTGCATGGTGGCACGCAAAACTATATCAAACGCTTCAGGTCCCTTATCAAGATAAACAACACTCTCCTCCACAAACTCAGCAAGTGTTTTGATGTATTCCGTTTGGGTATCTAGTTGAACCAATTCATCTCTTATATCTGAAAGATAGTGATCACATAAATGGAGCAATGCTGCATGATTCTCCTGTAGATGCGCATCTAACTCATCCCTATCTACTGGAACATCACACAAATCACAAGTGAACTTCAAGGCACTAGCCTTTTCCTCTTCCTTCATTTCACCCAGTTCTCCCTCACCCTCATTTGCCACTCTCCCCTCGTTCTCAGATGCTCTTAAAGATTCATCATTACGGTCATGCATCTCATTAATTTCTAGAGGAGCAGTTTGAGGATCCATTATCGTAGTCAAACGCTGTGACGTATCTGTTCACTTTACCCCTTTGCTGTACTGCACAGAATACAAAGTACTTTGTAAATATATGGGATTCTTGCTAAAACGTTTATTTTAAATGTATGTGGCAATAGACACCAGAATGAGAACGTCCCAATACGAATCATAGGGTCCCAAGAGTCAAGAAAAGAAAAACATGACAAAGGAAAGAAAGTAAAACCAAATAAAGAACCACAGTCATAGCTGTCAACTGCAGAAGAAAAAAAATCCCATGTCTTTATACGCAAAAAAAAAAAAGAATACATGCAAAAAGAAGGAAAAAAAAAAGAATAGTTAAAAGAATAATAATAATAATAATAATAATAATAATAATAATAATAATAATAATAATAATAATAATAAAACAGTCGTTTTTCTTTCCTTCTTTTGCTTTGCTGTATCTAGCACGGGAGAACCATCACTGCACAAGGTAACCCAAACTCACTGTTACTGAGCATGTGCTCCTTAGGCATAGACGAAATGCTCTCATCTCCTCAAGCAGTATTCACACCTCCACTGGCAGGAAATCGTTTCACAGGGCTCACAGTGGCGCTCTTGTTGCCGAACCCAATGTTTCTATTGTTCATATCCATTCCTGCTAGTCCAATGCATGGAAAGAGGGTTTTACCTTTCAGACCCAGAGAACTGTCGAATAGAATACCCTGGTATTCGTCATTGACGTACAGTTGTACAATTCCTTCATCGGTATTGACAAGAAATCCAAACCGTGCCCCTGAGACAGGGACAAACAAACGCCATAGTTTCTTTTTTTCCTCCCCATTCACTTCTACAGTAGAGGTCTGGCAATTAAACACCCAACAATTGGGATTGGGTGGCAGTTTGTCAGATGGCTCTGAGGGAATATATTTTTTTCCTAGTTCTACATCCTGTAGTTCTACTTCAGTATGGAACGCCTCTTCTGTGCACAGACCTATCTTACAGCCGTCGGTGTTTGTTCGTATCTCATAAAAGAGTTTTCCTCTACCTGGCGATATTGCCAAGTCACCGATCACCGGTCTATAGGGAGCAACACCTCCCCCTTTGTGCAGCACCTGGTTACCCTGCAGAGTATACGTGTTTCCAGCACGCGCCCACTGAAAAGTGACGCTGGTGACACTCTGCTCATCAGTACCCTCTCCCATATCAGTTCAAACAAAAACAAACAAACAAACAAAACTATAAATAAGAGAATGAAAATAAAACGCTGGACCAGAAATCTTCTTTTATATCTTTCTTTTTTTCACTTTGTTTGTATGTATATATGTGTATGTGTATGTGGATACTGATAAAAATAAATTGGGTGTATCACACAGGATTCAGAGGTGCAACATTATATATATATATAATGACGAAAGAGAGAAAAAGAGGGAAAAAAAGAGAAAAAGAGAAAAAAAAAAAAAACCGATGGATTCTTTCTTTAGGTAACTGTTAGAATGAGAACAGAGGGAAGATTCTGTAAAATAAAGTATTTTGTAGACTTGCTTATCCTATTGGCACACTGGCGCTCCTGCAAATTGTACAAGAAACTAAACGGTCGTAAGAGCCAAAATCCGAACAAATACCCCTCCCCACAAATTATTAAAATAAGTGAAGAATAAACATCATAGCATCATCATTTTTTTTTTCTTTTTTATGGCCACTATTAATCATATATAATAACCTATTAAATAATATGCAAAGGAATAGAGAAGAGAAAAAAAAGGGGGAAAAAAGAAGAACTAGAAATACCATCACACCTCGTACACAATAATGGCTACAAATCCCAATAACAATGACACTCATATTTTCGTAATATCCTTCAAAAATAAAAATATAAAAGAAAAATAAAAGTGAACCTGAGAGAGAAATCATGGCATTGTCGGCGATAACAAGACAGCAACGACCAAAAACATACCCCACGAAATCGGCCTCGCGCTTACTTCTTCTTCGTCTGCATCTTGCCCTTCGCCTTACCGCGGATCTTCTTGTTACGGTTGCGGCGTTCCTTCACGGACTTGCGGGCCGGGAGCTTCTTCTTGCCCATACCAAGACGGGCCTTGCGGTAGTTGGGCTCAATGCGCTTCAGGGCGGCGAGGTCGTCGTAAATGAGACCAAAGCCAGTTGTCTTACCGCCACCGAACTTCGTCTTGAAGCCGAAGACGGAGATCTGGTTCTCGTCCGAGACCTTGTAGAGCGACGCGAGGCGGCTGCGGATGAGCTTCGCCGGGACAGTCCCGCACCAGCCGGGGTGGTTCACCTCCACGATGAACTGCTTGCGGTTAAGCAGCTTGTTCACCTTGAATTGCGAGGTGCGGACCGTCACCTCCGCCTTCTTCTTCTGGAAGACCATGGTATCCCTTTGGAGGAAAGAAATATGAAAAAAAGAAAAAGAAATATAAAAAAAAAAGAATTGTAGTAATATTTGCAGTAGTATAGACTCAAGATGGAGCTAAGATACCTGTAAAACTAGATCCCTCCCGATCACCTTCAATCTATTACCACTGGCATGCTGCATTGCCAACTGCAAAAACATACACACACAGAGACAAAATAAAAATTTAAAAAAAAACACTCAGTTCAAGGAAGAAAACATGTCTTTCATTGCTATTTTTCTTTTTACTTCTTCTTCGTCTGCATCTTGCCCTTCGCCTTACCGCGGATCTTCTTGTTACGGTTGCGGCGTTCCTTCACGGACTTGCGGGCCGGGAGCTTCTTCTTGCCCATACCAAGACGGGCCTTGCGGTAGTTGGGCTCAATGCGCTTCAGGGCGGCGAGGTCGTCGTAAATGAGACCAAAGCCAGTTGTCTTACCGCCACCGAACTTCGTCTTGAAGCCGAAGACGGAGATCTGGTTCTCGTCCGAGACCTTGTAGAGCGACGCGAGGCGGCTGCGGATGAGCTTCGCCGGGACAGTCCCGCACCAGCCGGGGTGGTTCACCTCTACGATGAACTGCTTGCGGTTAAGCAGCTTGTTCACCTTGAATTGCGAGGTGCGGACCGTCACCTCCGCCTTCTTCTTCTGGAAGACCATGTTACTTTTTTCTTGAACTGTAGTAATTAGGTGAAAAGAGAGGAAAGGGAAAAGAATGAAAAAAAAAAAAAATTTAAGAAAAGTGTAACCATGCAAATAGAAAAAAACAAGGTACACCGTTAAAATAAATAAACAAGAGGAAAGAAGAAAAACAAAAGCGTCACAGTTTGTTTCGCTCACTGTGGTTGTGTATCTGTCCTTCTGGACATCCACAATCATCAATCTGGATTTACATCATTGAACATACCCTTGAGAATACTCCTTTCAACTAGTTGTTCTTCACTCCCTTGCTCACCTCCGTCTGAGAATACTCCAGCTCTCCCGCGATGGCGTCAAGAACATGAACAGTAACATCCGCTAGCAACTCTTCCACTATGTTTAACACAGCTCCATCACATCGTTTTGTTAAGGACGCAGATGATACATACGTCTCAGAAGATACAGAAGGTCCTGGTGATGATGATAACATTGGTAGTGGTGATTGCGAGGAAGTAGCTGTCTTCGTACTTGTCTTTGTTAGCTCAACTGCAGAAGAAGAGATGTGTTCAGATGGTGACTTATTCCATTGTGCAGTAGATGGAGAAGTAGAAGAATAAGAAGAGGCAGGTTTAGTAGTTGTAAGAATCATTTCCCTATAGTATGGAGCCTCTTCCACGATGGGTTCTGTGAAGGCCGCATGTACCTGCGGTCGAGCAATAACTGCGCGTAAGAGTCCATCCAAGACTTCCAACGCCACTACTGCTTCTTCAGCAGTATACCTCGTACGCTTTTTCTCTCCCTTCTTTTGTATTAAATGGAGGGAAGTGGGATCAACAAAGTTTTGACAAAGCATGGGGAAGTACATTTGTTGTAAGGCTTGTTTGCCGTAAAGCCGTTCATATGACTCTATAGACATGATTCTCGCTTGAACAAAGAACTCAAGAGCATGATCTATAACAGGACCTTCTTCTACAAACGTTTGCTGAGAAGTCAATACATGAGATGCCGTAGAAGCTGCCAAAACACGCAGACTCTGAAACTCAGGTGGAATACTTGTTACAGGCAAACGATTTTTATTCGATCCCAAAGGTCGTAACTTTGTACAGGTAGAACGTACAAAACCTTGATTAGATAAGGATGGTTTAGTATCCAGTAGAGGATCATTCAATAAATTTTCTTCTGTTGATTTTGTATCGGATGTATTATCTTGCATTATAGCAGCATTACCAATCCTTGATTTCTGAGCTCCTCCAGCAGTATTAATAGTAGTAGAAACACTTCCGGAAGCTAGAGTCTCATTATGAATATGGCAGAATACAGAAGTTTCCAAAACTTGATTCAAACTACCACAATACATTGCAAAATGACAGCGGATTCGTTGACCAGGTCTTAGCACACCACGGTTAGGTGAAACCTCTAATGTTGAACTTCCAGGTTCTAAAGAAGTCTGCCAAACAAAAGAGTAAGTATGACGATTGTGTCTATTTTCCAAATAGCATATGCGACGATGCAAAGAAAAACAAGGGGCTGCCCCAACACGTATGACATCCATAGAAAGAGCAACAGGACATTTATCAAGAGGAAGACGTAGTGTAGGTGAGATAGGAATAGATAAGAAGGCATTATTAATCATATGCCGTATAGATTCTGCGGAATTCTTCTTTGGATGATAACCAATACCGTGAAATTGTACATCATACTCCTCACCATCCACTGTCCATAGTGCTACATCAATGTGATACTCACGTGCTTCTAAAGGACGAAAGTAAAATTTAAGTTGTACTGATTCACCTGCTAAAATTTTACCTGTAGGATTTAAACACTGAAATACTGGGAAACCACAATTTTTCTCCGCCACCATTCTTAATAAATCCTCATGTACAACATATTCAACCTCTCGTGAAGCTGTGTTTCTCAGGGTTATAGTTTGTAGTGGTGGCTCCACATCGCCAAGGGCAACAGGGTGAAGATTGTAAATATAAGGATGATGAAAAGCCAATGCATTGGCATCTGGTAAAACCGTACGACCCTCCAAAACTAGAAGAGCTTTTTTTCCCTCGCTCAGACGGAGGAGTACAGGTAGAATGTGTGCTCCAACAGTACTGTGACGGTATGTGATGGTGATTACCTTATGTGATCCTACAGGAATAGTCCCTTCACGTGGTGTTATCTCTAGTAACTGATCTGAAAGTATGCGTTGAATATCCTCCAGTTCTTCATCCTCAATGAACCAAGTCTCATTCCCACCTTCATGTTCTGTAGGGTACCAAAACTTAAAGGAAGCTGCACACATTCCTGCATTTTCAACACGAAGTATAATTTCCTTCTTTGAATCCAATATGGTACCTACACCAACATCCATAAAAATAGGTTCAAGACCTTTAACATACTGTTTAAAAGCAAATGAATCACTCTCCAAATCAATCGCCTGTACAGGTGCAGCGAGAACAGCATTAACACTGTTAATAGCTAATTGACACCATAATTGAGATCGATGTTGTTGTAGTGAACGAACATCCGTTATTTGAACAGCTGGTCTTGTACCCTTCAAACGAACTTCACAGTGTGGGTGTTGACGTATTTCATGCAGACTTGTAGGGTGTGGAATTGTATTTAATTTTACACCACTACCTCCTACAAGTATATATAAAATGTATTTGGAAACACCAGAATGGGGTTGAAGCGTGACAAGTACAACCGTATGGGAACGTGCTGCCAAAACACCAGTCTTGTTGTTACTTAACTGAACTGGTGATTCTTCATCTTGATGTGATCGCACATTATCTGATATGGAGAGCCAACGCACCTCGTAGAATACTTCACATACACTGCTGTTATAAATAGTCCATTCAAATGTTTTCTTCTGCAAAGCAGGACCTTCATGTTCTATTGCTACTGGTTCCACCTCAACAACAGCGTGGAATCCCTCACCCACACATGGACAAGAAATAATTTTTCTGTCCTCTTCTTCTTCTTTTCTGCTACTGCTGGTGCTAACGGAGTGGGATTTCTGTGATTCGTCAGCATCAGAAATCAAAAAGTTTACCTGACCCTCATACATTTCAGCCTTGTTCGGAGTAAAGATCAACTTCATTTCCGTCTGTTGTCCAGCTCCAAGAATACCAACAGCGGGTTCACACCGTACAACATCCATAAGTTCCAACGATGGGAATACATTAAACATAATTGGAATGCAAGTTGGATTAGAAACCTTCAAACGACGATGGGACTCTCCTGTAACACATGTAGGCTGCAAGACAATCATAGATCTATCTTCAATCACAAGTTCTGGTGAAAAACTCTCAGCTTGTAAAGCCACTCTCACCTCATCCCTCTCGCTATGGTTAAAAGTCACTATGGCCTTACCGCGAAATCTCATAGCAAATGTGGGCTGAAATGATAATACGATATGATAATCCTGATGTGGTAGTAAGAGACCACTGGTGGGGCTACAGGTGAGAAGATGTCCATTCGTTGCATCCTTTACATTATTATCTTTTGGTTCAATACTATCTGTGTGAATGGTAACTGTGAACATCACCGCCACATTACCTCGGTTTTCCAAATCAAGAATAGTGTGTGCGAGTTCACCAGTTCGACATGCGGGAAATATCAGAGATCCAGGTACTTTGATATTTGATAACAGTGTTCCTTCTTCTACTACTCCAGTGGAAACCCCCCACTGACAATGTAAAGGAAAAAAGCAGGGTGGTGTAAAACCACCTTCTTCAACCAGACGGAAAGAACGCATTTGCTTGTAATTCACATAACATTCAAGATATTCCTCAGCGACAGGACCTAACATGGCCGAAGTTGGAGAGAGAGTAAACTTACAGAAGGAACACGGTGGAACATCTCCCTCTGTAGGTGAAATACGAAATGCAGAGTTATGTGGATAACACCAGTACGCAGTTGCAGGAGTTTTAGTTTTATTATATACAATGACCTGTTGAGAGTCATAATTATTATTTGCAAAAAAGAGTAATATCCCCGTATTTAGGTAAAAAGGTGTATTTTTTGATATTCCTGGTGTTATATAGGAAAGGTCCAACTGTTTTTTACGTCCCATAGTAATTGTACTCCTAGTATTATTACTATCCATATCATAATCCAGTTCTGGATGCATAGATAGTATTAAATTGGACACTTCATCATATGTGCGTCCACTCTGCAATGCATTGTTTATAGCAACCAAATCATCTGGTTCCACACTTCCCAATCCACACTCCTGACGTTTAAAAAATGATTCCACTTCTTTAATTCCAAATGGCATAGGTCGTATAATACTGTCATAGGCAGAACCAAAGACATCTACATACAAAAGACCTTCTGCATGCTCTACATAGATCAATAATCGACGAAGATAATTTATTGAATGTGTTGGACAGAACTCTACCTTCACCCGTACACTACCCTTTGCAGGTAACTCTCCTGATACTGGTTCCACCACAAAAGCGGCTCCAGGTGCTATTGCTATAAAACAGAATTTCACAGCAATTTCTGAATTGTTCTTAATAGCAAAGAAACGTTGTCGTACCTTTGATGATACTAAACCTGTTGATCTTCCTCCCATCTCTCCTCCTTCTCTTTCTCCTCCTACCATCACTGTTTTTACTACTCCAAAAGAACTCTCTTCGTCAAGTTTCACATCACCAAAGTCAATCATGCGGGTGGAAAGACGTACATTAGGAGCTGCACCTACACCTCGAAGTTGTACAAAAACTGTATTTCCTGCAGCTATCACCACCCGTAATTCATTCACGTGTACCATACCAGATACTCTTGGGGCGAAGAGAACTTTAAATGTCTGTTGTGTACCTCGTGCAATTACACCTGTAGTGGGTTTTACAGTAAAAGGGCATGTCATCGCCGTGTCTGCCACCTCTAGTGAAAAGGCAGCATCCACCATGGAAGGATTTTCGAGGGTAAAAGTCATAATACGCGTTGTAGATGAGAGTTGAGGTCCAAAGTCCAGCAATACGGTATTGCCGCCATCACTGGGAGTTCCTTCTATCGCCCGCACAAATGGGTATTTACCAATACCTGAAAGTTTCAAATTCCCTAATTCTTCAGTACCGTTGCTTGATGTACACACCGCCCGAGCCAACAGCGTACACGCCTCCGATGGACTGAAGGTAACTTTCAAATCAACGGTCTCATCCTCCTGCAGTACACCACGGGCCGGTGTAATGGCAAACGGCGACGGTAAATCCCACACAAAGTCCACCGCCATCGTTCCGGCGTTCTTCATTTGTAGTGTTTCTGCTGCCGTTGTTCCAACTCCAACGTACCCAAAATCGTGCTGTGTTGGTAGTTGTAACTTCGCGAATGGCAACTCACACTCTAAATGAACTGCGTAGCTGCCGCGGTCTACCACCACAACAACAACAGTATCATGCAATTCCACAAGTTCAGTTGGCCGAAAGCGTACTTCAATGTCAAAGCTCATACCACTGCTTAACGTAACTGGATCAGGGTAATCCATAAAGAACGTTGATTTTCGCAGCGGTTGCTTGTACGTGATCGTCTGAGCTCGAGCATCTAAATTTCTCACTCGTATCTTTCGCACATATTCTTTCCCAGGTTCCCAGTTTCGCCATACAACACGACCAACGCTATCGACGCCAAGTTTGCGTCTGCGCTGGTCTCTAGTGCCTGCAAATGTTGGCATTCAACACAACACGAACAAGAACACCTGAGTTTTGGCTTCCCAGTAATAATGTTTGGGTTTATATTTGTGAATACAAGCGTAAGTGCGCGTGTATATGTGTGTGTAGAGGAGAAAAGAAATAAAGAGTGAGAAAAAAAAAAAAAAAAACAGTTATGCAGAAGAAGGCATTAACATAACAGTAGTGTATAGACCAATCATCCCAATTTCCTTCTGTTAAAATTGGGAGACGACGGTGCAAGAGACGATGAGAAAAAGAAAAAGGAATACCACCGAAACGGATGAAAAAGGTATAAGTTGTACAAGTTGCAGGACAAGAAAAACAATAATAAAAAAAAAAAAAATGGAGGCATCCACGCAAAAAAAAAAAAGACTTGATAAGATATCAAAGTGCCGTCCGACTATCAAACATTCAAATAATAAAGCTGAAACACTAAAAAGAAAAAAAAAAAAACAGCCAAAACAATAATACGAACAGCAAACACAGAGACACCACCGATTATTTAAATGGTGTTTCTCGCTAGCAGGACAAAAAGAATACAAAGAGAGCCAAAAAAAAAAAAAAAAAAAAAAACTTATTTACACACCTTTCTTTTCCCGGTTGTTTTTTGGCTCTCTTTTTGGTACTCTATGATCATTTATTTTCACACGCTCAGTTTTCCCTCCCTCTCCCCCTTTTTTTCCCCACTCTATTTTCACCCTTCTCTTACTTACCCTCCCCTGTGCGCAGGAAAAGAAGGGCAATGTAGGCCAGTAACAGATAGATCCCTACACCACCGGCGATGGCCCCAACATAACACCACAAATCATTCTTGTTGAAACCCTGCAACTCTGCGTACATATTTCCATCCGAAATACATGTTGTTGTATTTGGGGGACAATTAATCACTAAACCATCGAACTCATTCACCACCAGCGCTGCAAGTCCATACCGTACAAATGAGATGTACTTAATCCAGCGCCAAGCAATGGGCAAACTATCCACATCCATAAGCACACCTCCGGATGGAAGCAAATAAAGCACAAACACAAGAGGTGCCACTATATTTGCCACTTGAATGTTTTTTGATATATTTGATATAAATAGGCAAAGAGCGTAACTGTTAAGCATCACAAGTGTACAGATAAAATAAAATATAAAGAATTTGTCTGCCCTTGACTGTAATCCTACCATAAAATAAACTATTGCATTAAATATGAGATTTGTCAGTACACTGATGGGTACATCTTGGACTATTTTCCCCACCAAATAAGCAAAAGCACGATACATTCCGTTACGATGTTCTCGTACAAATATCGCACGCTCTAACATTAGCAAACCGAGACTTCCAAGACTCGAAAAAGTGGTATTCATTACCACATAGAAAAGTAAACCCATACGATTACGAACAGAGGATTCGGATAACCCTACCTTAAAATATACTGACCCAATAAGCACGGCGAAGAAAATAGCTGCTATAACAGCAGCAAAAGTTGCAATAGGATCACGTATTTTATTTAATACCGCTCGTGTCGCTACTACTCGTATTTGTGTGAACATTCCACGAAAGTATGGTGAAGTTTTAGCTAAGGGTTGCATGGCACCATCTATGTCATAGGTGGTCACAATATCATCAATATCACGTTCCACATTATTCATAATAGTTGTGCGAAAAGCTTCCGCAATAACAGTTCCATTAGCGGATGCTGCTGAAATTTTATATCGCTGCAACCAGTCCGTCCTTTCCTGTACATCTGGTGGAATTGCAGATACCGTGTCTAACAGGAAGTCTGCCGGGTTATCGGGTTCTGAAGGTGTAATACCAATGCTGGCAAGAAACGGTAGGGCCTCTGTTGCAGGACCAAAGTATGCCTCTTCGCCATCACTATTCAATAGTAATACTTGATCAAATAAACGGAAAATCCCACTGCGAGGTTGATGAATAGAGAAAACAACAGCTACCCCTTGTGCTGCGAGATCCTTTAAGATTGTTAAGAGATGCAGTGCGGTAAAGGTATCCAGTCCCGTAGTGGGTTCATCCAGAAACAATAAGGAAGGAGCTGCCACCAATTCAATGGCAATTGCACATCGCTTCTTTTCACCCCCACTGATTCCACGCATTACTTCTGACCCAATCAGTGTATCCTGCACTCCATCAATGCGGAGTAATGACATAATATTTTGTGTGCGGGCGTTAAGTTGTTCTTTTGTGAGATGCGGTGGTGTGCGTAGCTGCGCGGCGTAAAAGATGCTCTCCCGCACGGTGAGATAGCTCTGAAGTAGATCCTCCTGCTGCACGTAAGCACTAATGCGGCGGAAGCTTCCCTGTTCAATAGGTCTGCCATTAAGACGAATGTCGCCGCCGCACTTCCCGCTCTTTGGGCGCTGTGCGAGAATGTCCAGAAGTGTTGACTTCCCGGCGCCGGAGGGACCCAACACGGCGAGCAGCTCCCCGCCCCGCACGTGGCCGGAGACGCCGCGGAGAACTTCACGGCCGCCGTCTATTGTGTACGTCACGCGGCGGAATGTGAGGACTGACGGGACCCGCAGCAGCAGCGGTTCCTGCACGGACATGTATTTTCTCGTTGTGTGTATAGGTGTGTACACACTTGTAGATAGATAGATAGATAGATAGATAGAGAATAAGAAAAGAGAAAGAAAGAAAGAGATGTAGTTAATATATATAAATGTGCAATGTACATCAGACTGTATTGTAGGGGTATATTGTTAGGAAATACGAAGAGAAAATGAGAGAGAAAAACAACAACAAAAACAAGAAAACCCTGTAACACCAAGAACCCCAGGAAAAACAAAAAAAAAAAATAATAATTAATAATTAACAAGAAAACAATCTGTAGGTGTAAACGAAAAAACCAAATAAATAATAAAATAAAAATAATAATACGTTAAGACTTTCTGGGTTTAGGCCTCAGCAACAACAGCGTAGGCATTTAATCTTCGTATAATCAGTGCAGCGTCCAGTAAGTGTTGGATAACAGAAGAGAATGATTGCCCAGTTACTTCCTCACCACCCATCTGTTCAAAAAACGCTCTTGCGCACTCCTCAGGTACGATAGCAGCAGTCATTCCATATTCCTCAGCACGACTCCGCTGCTCTCTAGACATCATCCGCAGTAGTGCCACACAAATTGATTTTTTGCTCATCTTTTTCATTTTTCCATTCCTGGCCGCAGGAAATGCGGCACCTTCACAGAAAGAAGTCTGTATTCCATTTTTATCACCTCCTCTTCCTCCTCCTCCTGCTGATGCTGCTCCTCTTGTTGTTGTAGTCCCTGTGGCTGAAGAGGCAGCGGTGTCCACTGCCCAAAGGTGATGTTTATAGTACTGCCAAACCTCTGCAGCGATGGTTTCATTCCATTTTACAACTGCTTCTACAGTACTACTATTGACACCGCAAGTAGAGAAATTTTCAAGTATTAGTCGTGCTAAATTAAGTTCCCATAAAACGGATAGTCTTGATGCCAGTGTTGTAGTACTGCTGCTACCATTCTGCCAGTGTTCACTAAGGCAATTCAGGTAAAAGCGTGTAAAGGCATCAGAAGGAATAGCAGCCTCAAGAATTGAGGGTGATGGAGCCATTTCCATGATAGAGCGCAGAAACGCAGAATCAAGTAACCCAGTTTGGGGTACACTCTTATCTGTAAACCAACTCGGACTAGAATCACATAGAGATACAGATCGTGATGGTGTAACGGAGAAAGATTGTGAACGGGCAACCGATGCCGCAATAACACTCTCACCTATCGATACAGTATTACGTAGAGAGAGTTCTGCCGTTGTACGGGCTACCAATGAAAACTGCGGTACCACTGCTGCTGCCGCTGCATAATCATCATTTACAGCAGCAGTCACCTGAACCTGTGTGTGTGCGACATGACCACGAAATGATGGGGCTGCAGTACCGCTGTTGATGGGCGTCACTCCCGTGATAAGTCCCTCTATGTGATTAGCGCTGCTGCTGCTGGAGAGTTCATCAATAACAAGTGCATCAAACCCACACACCACACCTCCCAAGAGCAGCTGTTGACGAACATGTGGATATGTTGCCGTAATAGCCTGCGAAAGCGCCAGTGAACGTTGCTGTCCATGCACAACATGTGCACTGATGAGTGTGGCGTGCTCACCAAGGAGACGTAGGAAAACACGCAGCAATGCGGACTTTCCAGACCTTGATGCACCCAAAAGCAAAAGGTGAAGAGGCTGGCGATAACGACAACGTAGAGCTCGGTACATGGTTTGCACAACAACAAGCAAAAGAAGAGATTTACATAGTGTCTGTCCTGATATTTCTGGTGCATAGGATTCAACAAGCTGATTAAATGATAAGCGAATAGGTAGAGAAGAAATAGGAGAAAAAATTCCGTTTATCATATTGGAGGACCTAAAATTACCTTCATCAGTCATTCTGATTCCCATATTAGAAGCCGTAAATTCCTCTACATTATGAAGAACATATGCTGTCTGTTGATCATCTGTGTGGGTTGGGTATGCCACTGTATTTAAAACCGCTCCAATACGCAGCTGCGAGCCAACATCACCGTACGCCCATGCAGAGAAACGTCGTCCAGAGGCTAGTTGAATAACAACATGTGTGCGGCTGCAATAAACAGGTCGAAGAGATCCACCAGGTGTATTACTGGAGAATTTCCCTGCAGTTGCAGACCACCCTTGTTGAATAACATCTGTAGAACTGGGGGAAAGGCGTAGTGCAACAACACGAACAACATGCCATTCCAATCCATTCTTTTTACTGTCACTTTCTCCTTTAGGGGAGAATGGACCATCCAAGTGGGGATCAATTAAAAAAGATAAATTTATATTATTATCTCTATTCATGTTAAGTAGACTCCCATCCATACATGAGTTGGCCAAGCAACGCAAGCAGTACACCTCAATAGGCTCATCCTTAAGTTTCCACACTCGTTGTTCCCACATTGCTTGTAAAGAAGGGGGAGGTGGTGGCGCATTTCGCATAAATTCACGAAGAACAGCGTAGGAGATACCATTTCGGTTGCTATCACCGCTATTAATGCAAAGGCACTGGACTGCATTCTGAACCCACTGTGCTGCCGCCGCAACCGTATCATTTCCCATCATTATTATCTTCGCTTTGTGTTTATATATATATATATATATATTATTCACTGCAGCGATCACACACCTATGACAAAGAAAATAAGGAGAACAAGAAAGAATAATCCAAGTCTACAGGTAATGAGTGTAGTAAATAAGAACCCATAAGCAAAGAAAAAACCAAGCAAAGGGAAAGGGAAAAAACAAAACGCAGCTGTCACCATCACATTCGCCAATAATAATAATAATAATAATAAAACTCATTCTGTTGAACAGAAAACAAAAAGAACAAAAAAAAAAAAGAAGTCATAGAGGAGGAAGCAGAAGGAAACATATATATATATATATATATATATGTATAGGTCAACACCTCGATAAGATTTGTTCCACTTCCTTGCGGGCCTCATCCCAATTAAACCACAAGGTATCGAAAACGTCTTGGAGGCCATCAATATCAACAAGAACCCCTGCAAAGAGTCGTATTGCTTCCATTTTAGTGTCATTGAAAAACAAACGTTCGGTTAAACTCGCCAGTTGTCGTGCTGTTACACCTAATACTGGTTCTCCACCATCTTTACCTTTTTTTTCTTGCTCTTGCCGTTCTTGATCTTTCTGTTCTCTCTCCCGTAGCATTAAATCATCATTTACCCAATCAGCAAAAGTGGAGTTAATATTCACCCCCACTTCACCCGTGAAGACCAGGTGACGAAACATCCGCATCACATCACGGTCATCTGCGAGGAGCGGAATAAAGTGCAGCAACAACTGCAACTGTGCATCATCCATACGGCTGAGTTTCTGCGCGTTAGCGGCAATACTGTCGCACATCCGCAGTTGTTGTTCCTGCAGGGCGTGTCTGTCGTACGCAACCTTCACACTCTCTGGTAGAGTGTCGCGCTGATCACCCACCGCCTGTGCGGCCGCCTCTCCGCTCAGTGCATCCACTTGATCGGCGATATCAAGAAAATCAAATAACAGTTGGTTTACATAGACTCTAATGCGACCCCGCGACCCTGGCCCTGTGCGGCATGTGAGATCAACACTCGCCAGTAGTCCACAGGGCGTCCATGTGTCAATAGACGCCACAACATCACGCATAAATGTATCCAACACATGTCGTCGTGCCTCACCAGTCTCTGCGGTGAGTTTACGCCACGCCGGCACAACGCGGCAACGCAGCGGTGGCACTACAGTCTCGCCGTACACACGAACGAGGGATTCATGCAGTGTTCGGAATTCACTATAACGCCGGGAGAGCACCCAATGATGGCCGCAAAGAAAGACATGCATAAGATAAACAATGTGAGCTCCGTCAAGGATGGTAAAATCCTTTACATTCAGTAGAATCTGTCCTGTTATAGTGGAGGCGGTGGCGGCCAGCGCTAATTCCTCAGAGTCACGTTTTGGAGTATTCTCTGTCTCTAAACATGATTCCATTTTCGGTGTTGATGTAGAGGAAAGCATTGCTGCTGCTGATAATGCTCGTGCGTGTGGTTGTGGTAAAGATGATACTAGCAATGAGGATGAGGATGGGGAAGGGGAAATTAAATGAGACGATGCGGTACCGCGCTCATTCTCCATAGGTACAATAGGTTTTCTCGTGTTCCCTAATTCAGCACTTCTAGATGTTGATAATGGCACTAGTGCAGCATCCCTTGTGGCTACTGGTGTTGCGGCAGGTGTGGTGTCCGGATTTAACTCCGTTGTGTTCAATAGGCCACTTGTTTGCAGTTGTGGTATTTGTTTTGGTAATGATGTGGTATTCACCGTATGTTCTTCCACCTCCAGAAATGTATATAAAAACTTATTTAGGGTGATAAACCCTGTACTGTCATCCGGATCCTGTACTACAATGTTGTTTGAAGTTGGAGTCCAGAGTGGGCTCACGATAAGAAGTTCATTTAAATATGCCTCAAGTTTTGGGAGACGTCCTGCTGCAGTTGAACTGCTGTTGCGAGCCCACAATCGGACGGCTCCTGTTAAATGCGGTACTTTACTGCTGCCATACTGTTTTTCTAGTTGAGCGTGCAGTGAGGTAAAGTCATCGTATAATTTGCTCAGCACCCAATCACGGCGACTGCCAAAGCAGACTTGGAAATTATACTGCATTTTCCCCTCATACTGAAGGTAGTCTATGGCGGACACCTTTATGTGCGCCATCTCATCTACCACTCTCAAAGAAGACATAGGAAAAACAGGAAAAAAAAAATAATGAAAAATAAGAGAGAGAGTGTGTGTGTGTACATCGTGAAAGAAGCAAGGTAACAATTACAAGAGTAACACAAAAAAATGAAAGAAAGAAAGAAAGAGAAATAAATTAGAGACTGGATCCGTGTAGACGTAAACGTAGAAACTACTAACATAGTATATTTATAAATATAACTCAAGACACTCCTCCATTGATCCCCTCTGGTTCTCCCCATTCCTTTCGGTGCATCTCTAACGCATCACGGTATACATTGCAGAATACCACAGAATAAATTTCTCCAGCAATCTCACCCACAACTTCGCGGTACGCCTCTTTACGTAATCCTTGCTCCCAGATTGTGTAGTCACGTGATGCCATATCTAACTCCTCATCAAGTGACGAACTACCATAATTATCCATCGCCAATTAAATAATACAACGCCAGAATCCTTCCTTCTTTTTTTTCTTCTTTTTTTTTTTTCTTTAGAAGGTATTTCGTAAATACCCTTAATTGGAACAGATGAATCAAGAAAGAAAGAGCATATGACGACACATCTGGAAGAAATGAAGAAGGTTTAAATATAACGCAAGGTACATATTACATTATGCGATATCTGTAGATTACTTTAAAACAGTTGCAAGAAAAACGGCAAATCAACAAACCACCATAATCATCATCATCATCACTATCATAATCATAATCATCACCTTCTTCTTCTTTATCGTATCTACCCACAGTTCCTACTGCTACTGCTACTGCTACTATATATATTTATGAGCAGCAACCCAAATATAATCACAACTAGTACACCAGTAGAAGTACTAATGGCAGTAATATCAAGAAGAAAAACAGAATCATGGTTCTCATGTATCATTGTCTATTTTACTGGACGAGCAATAGTGACATACGGAAAGAGAAACAAAACGAATCAAGGCAACAACACTCCTCCTTCCTGTCCATCCCAGTTATGCACTCACGGAACCTCACTTCCCTACGGCTGACTGACCACCAAAGCGCGAAGCACGGGCGTTAGCGCGACTACCAGCAGAATTGTAGAACGTTCTTGGGCCACCCACAGTCTGTGGCCGCCGCAACCGTGACCGTTCCCTACACACATTCACCCGCACAGAGTTGTGGTTTGGCAAGTTGCCGTCGTAGTTAAGCCAATCGAGCACATGTCGTGTGCGGTTGCGTAACAGCGGGGTCACCTCTGTTGGATCAAACTCCCACTGCACAAGGTGCTGTGCCCGCTCCTCTGGTGTGTCGCCGAACCACTGATAGTCCACCCGCAGGTACTGCTGTTGCAGCGGCCGCTCGTTGAGGGCGCGGGTGGCGGCCTTCGGGTCCTTCACGGCGGCGCCAAGAGAGTCGCAGGCGCTGACAACATCGCCGAGGAGCCGCGTGACGGCTGCGGCCACATCCTCGCCCTCCGCCGGCCGCACAGGCACGAGTTTCTGCGTGCCGTCGAGTGCATGCACCACCACCCATGGGGTTTCATTATATTCTAACAACATCTCCGTCTCCACGTAGACATGCGAGTTGTGGAATGTGATGGGAATGAGAAACTCCCGTGCGAAGCGGCGGGCGGTGTCGGTGGCGAGTTTCCCCTGCGGTGTGCTTTGCCGCTGTCCATAGTAGACGTAGATGGACTTTGTGAATGGATGCACCTTCACCACCCGCTCCAGCAGAAGGGCGTAGGGCCAAATCACCTCCGCCGCCTCATTCCCGAACTGCCGCTTTGGCTTTGGCAGTCCCTTAAACGCCTCCAACTCGTCCCACCCCTCACGCATCTGCAGATCCCACCGCTTGATGAATTGATACTGCCGCGTCTCTTGGGCGGAGGTCTGGCGTTTGCCGGGGCCACGATGAAGACCGCGTGGGCGGCGGCTGGTGGATGTTGGGACGTCTTGTACTTGTTCGAGTCCATGCAGCGGCCGCGTTGTGCACATCGCACGGGCCCCTGAGAGACACAGAGATAACAGTAGCCGCGGCTCCTGCCACCGCCGCATATTGTTGATGATACACTAACTACATGAAAGATAAAGAAAATAAAAAATATGTGTGTTTGTGAATGGATGAATAAAAGAGGGAATAGAGAAAGGAAATCGATAGAGGAAGAAGCAATCCAAAGAGTTTTTTTTTTTTTTCTCATCTTGTAAAGAAGATGAAAAAATAATAATAACTGTGAACAAATAGAAGTAGTAATAACAACAATAATAATAATAGCAGTGTTCACAAGAAAACAAATCCACAATTTCGATTTTTTTTTTTTTTTCAGCTGTCAAGACACATACACACACAATATGAGAAAGGAAAACATCACCGTCTCTCTCTTTTCTCTCTCTCTCACCGTGTGCGCATGGTGGCCATACGCTGATGTCTGTTCTGATTCAAAACACGTGGACAGCCGTCTCGGTCCTTCTCAAGCGCAACACAGTACTGACAGTAATACGCCACCTCCGTTGTTTTACCAGCATTGCACATCACACAACGCTCCTCGCCTTCTTTGCCAAAACCACAGTCATCACACACATGTACCTCTCGCATCGACGGGAGAATCTCATCAAACTGAAGATCACATATGACACAACGCCCATCATGGTGCTCGCAGACGTATCCAATGTATGTACCCGGCACCTTGCGGCACATCTGTTGCTCCTGCTTTGAGTGACGCAGCATAACGCTGCAGAAAGTGCAGTAATACTAAAGTCTAACACTCATTCAATAAATAGAGAGGTATAACAAGTGTAAAAAAAGAAAAGAAAAGTAGGCACATCGTCGGTAAAAAATGTTACTTCATGTTTGAATTGAAAAAGACGTTCAGGAGGGAGAAGTTACTGGTCTTTCCTATGCAGAAAGAAATTCTGCTTACAAACTGGCATAAACATGTATTAGCAAAAGTGTCGTTTCTCGACAGGAAAATAAAAAACCAAGAATAAAAAAAAAAAAAACCAACTGCATTCACTGCATTTTCAACATTACATCCCGATCTTTTTTCCCCTCATGGTTGTTCCTCTCAAAAAAAAAAAAAAAACAGTACTGACGAAATGGAACTGCTAAGAAGCCCTTTTTAGCCCGCTTCCCGCTCGAGGCGGTATGGATTGAGTTGGGTTGGGTGGGCTTTCAAAAACTTATGTTTGACAAACCACTAAAATGAAAAAGAAAAACACTCTTACTCAAGATAAAATCCCAATCCGCAATTTTTTGCCTATTAACATAAGATTCGACCATTCTTTTCGCAAGCTGCGAAAACAAAAAAAAAAAACCTGCAACACTGTTTTCCCTCTGTTCCACACGGTAGATAAAAAGACTGATACAATAATAGTAATAATAATGGACGTCGGCGCTCGAAAAGAGAACGCATTCACAATACTAATACTAAGACTCATCTTCTGTTCGGGTTTCTTCCAACCTCAATCTTTTGTAGTGTGCACTGGCACCTTCTGTATCCCCCATTTCCACGGTAGTAGCAGCACTTGTCATTGTCACACTCTCATCCTGTTCCTGTAAAACAACTTGGTTCCGCTTCCGTCGCGTATTTCGCCTTACATGCTGCAGAATAGGTTTATCTGCAAATTCACTGGCATTCTCTATTTCGACGGGTGGAACTGTAGGTTCAGATTCTGTCACAACAGATGGGGGGTGTTGTGTAGGAAGAGGCGGCATCATCATGTGCCTCTCCAGTCTACTACTCCAGATACCCTGGGGGTTGTTGTTGTTGCTACTACTACTACTACTACTACTATTACTATTGCTGCTGCCAATACTACTATTCCTGATATCATCAGCATATACCACTGGAATGGTCCTCACTGTTCTTAAGGGACGAATAAGTGGTCGCAATGATCCGTGGAACGATGGTGGACGTTCGACACTTCTCAAGTTAAATGTTGTCTGTACTGCGACATCCTGTAAAGAATGCGACCTTGTCTCTGATACATCTTGTCTTTCCACGCCAAAGCTAAAGACTGAAATGGGCTCATCGTACGGCTGGTGTGCGGGGCGGCGGCACATGGGACAGTGATCGGCCCGCATTAACCAACGACGCAAACAGCGGGTGTGGAAAGCATGACCGCAGTGCAGCTTGCGGGCCCGATCACACATTCTGATGGACTCCAGGCAAATCACACAGTGCCCGTTAATGCGAACCTCCGGGAAGGTGCGAAGCACATCGTTAAAGTGATGCAGCCGCAGCACCGCATCGACCACCGCGTAGAAGCGGTGAATGACTGTCAACTGCATGAGTGCAGCCGCATGTTCTGGACAGTACTTTAGCGCCGAAAAGAATGCCATGGCCGCGCCTATGCTGCGAATCGTGAGGCCAACTTCTTCCATTGGATCAAACTCACTTTCATCGCCTCCCACACGCTTCGTCGCGTAGAGAACATGCAACAGCTCAAAGGTGAGGGATCGCAGAAGACGAACGGAAACTGTCGTCGACCAAACAATAAGGGTGTAGTACACCGTTTCACTTTGCTCATCACGGGGCCGGGGAATGGTGGCGAAGAAGGACCACAGCAGAACCGCACACAGGAGCGCTGCGAATCCCGAGAGAAGTGCAACAGCACGAAACCGCCAATCGGGCCAGTGTCCCCACCCCGTGGCCTGTCGCTCCACATGTGTGGCCCAACAACTAAGGGCAACAGCCGTAATAACGCCATCACGCCACTCAGCGGTCGCCTTCGGCCCTGCGAAGACCGTGAGAGCGAGAAGTCGCATCAGTGCACCCAAGAATTGTCCCTCAATAACAGGCTCGTGCGTATGATCGCCGGAGTTCTGCCCACCAGCACCGCAGAGCCGCTCCACACGCGCAAGCACAAACAGAACCGTGCGCCTCACCACAACAGCGGTCATAATCCAGAGAAACGCAGTCAGCGTCTGCGCACTGTACGTGAAGAAGCCCCAATACACAAACAGCGCCACAGTGACCCACACCACAGAGCCGTGAACGTACAGTGTATTCATTCTTGTTTTCTAAACGGCTCTAGTAGGGGAAAAAAAAAAATGACAACAGTTAAAAAACAATAACATCGAAGAGAAAGAAATATAAGTCAATAAGGGGAAAAGAAAACGGCAACAAAAGAGGCAGGGCAGAAAGAAAGACATTTCATTCAAATAACAAAACTTGAAACATGTTGCAGCAAAGAGAAAAAAAAACAATACAAACAAAAACAAAAACAAAAACAATAATAATAAAAATAACAGTAATAATAATAACAATAATAATGGAAGTCGGCGCTCGAAAAGAGAACGCATTCACAATACTAATACTAAGACTCATCTTCTGTTCGGGTTTCTTCCAACCTCAATCTTTTGTAGTGTGCACTGGCACCTTCTGTATTCCCCATTTCCACGGTAGTAGCAGCACTTGTCATTGTCACACTCTCATCCTGTTCCTGTAAAACAACTTGGTTCCGCTTCCGTCGCGTATTTCGCCTTACATGCTGCAGAATAGGTTTATCTGCAAATTCACTGGCATTCTCTATTTCGACGGGTGGAACTGTAGGTTCAGATTCTGTCACAACAGATGGGGGGTGTTGTGTAGGAAGAGGCGGCATCATCATGTGCCTCTCCAGTCTACTACTCCAGATACCCTGGGGGTTGTTGTTGTTGCTACTACTACTACTACTACTACTATTACTATTGCTGCTGCCAATACTACTATTCCTGATATCATCAGCATATACCACTGGAATGGTCCTCACTGTTCTTAAGGGACGAATAAGTGGTCGCAATGATCCGTGGAACGATGGTGGACGTTCGACACTTCTCAAGTTAAATGTTGTCTGTACTGCGACATCCTGTAAAGAATGCGACCTTGTCTCTGATACATCTTGTCTTTCCACGCCAAAGCTAAAGACTGAAATGGGCTCATCGTACGGCTGGTGTGCGGGGCGGCGGCACATGGGACAGTGATCGGCCCGCATTAACCAACGACGCAAACAGCGGGTGTGGAAAGCATGACCGCAGTGCAGCTTGCGGGCCCGATCACACATTCTGATGGACTCCAGGCAAATCACACAGTGCCCGTTAATGCGAACCTCCGGGAAGGTGCGAAGCACATCGTTAAAGTGATGCAGCCGCAGCACCGCATCGACCACCGCGTAGAAGCGGTGAATGACTGTCAACTGCATGAGTGCAGCCGCATGTTCTGGACAGTACTTTAGCGCCGAAAAGAATGCCATGGCCGCGCCTATGCTGCGAATCGTGAGGCCAACTTCTTCCATTGGATCAAACTCACTTTCATCGCCTCCCACACGCTTCGTCGCGTAGAGAACATGCAACAGCTCAAAGGTGAGGGATCGCAGAAGACGAACGGAAACTGTCGTCGACCAAACAATAAGGGTGTAGTACACCGTTTCACTTTGCTCATCACGGGGCCGGGGAATGGTGGCGAAGAAGGACCACAGCAGAACCGCACACAGGAGCGCTGCGAATCCCGAGAGAAGTGCAACAGCACGAAACCGCCAATCGGGCCAGTGTCCCCACCCCGTGGCCTGTCGCTCCACATGTGTGGCCCAACAACTAAGGGCAACAGCCGTAATAACGCCATCACGCCACTCAGCGGTCGCCTTCGGCCCTGCGAAGACCGTGAGAGCGAGAAGTCGCATCAGTGCACCCAAGAATTGTCCCTCAATAACAGGCTCGTGCGTATGATCGCCGGAGTTCTGCCCACCAGCACCGCAGAGCCGCTCCACACGCGCAAGCACAAACAGAACCGTGCGCCTCACCACAACAGCGGTCATAATCCAGAGAAACGCAGTCAGCGTCTGCGCACTGTACGTGAAGAAGCCCCAATACACAAACAGCGCCACAGTGACCCACACCACAGAGCCGTGAACATACAGTGTATTCATTCTTGTTTTCTAAACGGCTCTAGTAGGGGAAAAAAAAACATAAAAAAAAGAGTGGCAACACAATTGTAGTGGGAGAATGGTAACCAGACGCATCATACACAGACATAAAAAAAAAAGAGAGAAAGAGAGAAAAACAAAAAAGATTCTGTGTTTTATGTCAATAGAAATAAAGCAAAATACAGATACATACCTTTACTTCTTCTGAAGTTCGGCCTGAAGCGCAAAAAAAGCTGCTTGTTGCTGTTCCAGCATTAACTTTGTCATTTCCATCTGAGACTGAATCTGTCGCAAAAGCTGCATTTTTTCATCATTACTCCCTGACTCACCAAATTGAGGATTTTTCATAGAATCGAGAAGTGATAATGATTGGCATTCCTCCCTCCCTTCCATTCCCAAAGGTCTCTGCAGAGAGTCAGATGATGCAAGTGTACTGTATTGTTGTTGTTGTTGGTTTTGTAATTCATTTTTACCATTATTGCCGCCCGACTCGATACGTTCATGAGATAATGACCCCAAAGATTGCTGCTTTTGCTGCAGTGGCTGCCACATCCCACCATTCTCTCCCAAGCTGTAGCTTGAAATCAAAGGATTTGAAGGAGTTGTTCCCACTGACGCTAATACAGAATAATTGGGCAGCACTTCCTCTTTATTTTGTTGTTGTTGTTGTTGTTGATAGAACTGCTCAGGGGGTCTCGGAACAGACGATATGGCGGTGATATTGCATGATGGTCCTCCATTCGTCATGGACCGTTCAGGTTTGCTCGAGTCTACAGAACCGAATAAATTGCCAAGGGTATCAACCGTTGGTTGTCCAACAGAATATACAGACTTTGAAGTAGAAGTCATTGGTTGTGTCTTTCTTAGTGAAAGATCAGAAAAGAGATCATCAATCTGCAGCGATGCAGACTGTGGTACGTTAGCAAACTGATTTGAAGAGCCCATAGATGGTGGTAGTGACGCTGGTATTTGTTGTTGTTGTTTTTGTTGTTGTAATGACTGTAGGATACGCTGAGCTACACCCATGGCTGCTTCTGCCTTCACAGGGTTCTCAGCACTAGTTGTCTGCATGTGTCGACAAACACCGCTGCTGTTACGACGAAAAAATTCCCGTGCCTCGTCCAACTCACCACTGTTATTATTATTAATATTATTGTTGTGGTTACTATTATGGTCTACGACTGCCTCTATTACAAGGAGAATTTTGTACCGGTTTTGAAGTGATTGACGGGGTTCGCACAGTTGTCGGTCGAGCTCTGCACATACCTCTTCTAATCTCCCTGTACTGAGTGCCGCATCTACGAAAGAGTCAAGTTCCTGTCGAGCAAATTTTTTCTTTGGGTTTAAAATAACCTGTTCTACTAGTTTCTCAGGGGACAGGTTCCCATCAAAAGAGCCATATACACGTTCCTTTACAATCACCACAGATTGTTTCTTCTGTTCATCACATTGTTTTCTGTACAGGCGTTGCTCCCTCTCATGCATGGTCTGAAATACACTCTTCTGTAATGTTGTACTTGTGCCTCCTCCTCCTCCTGCTGCTGTTGACATGGATGTGGCCTCTCCACTCATTTCTCTGTTCCCACCCGCGTGAATAGAAGAGAGGGAGATGAGGGATTCACTATTCCCATCGAGCGCCAACAATAATGCCGCGGCGAGTTCCTTGTTCATCGCCTCCACGGTATCTCGGCGCACATCATGGGCGTGGGCAATGCGGTGCAGCTCCGGTCGCAGTGTGGGCATCCGTGCACGCACACCAGCAGCGCCTTCCAGCACAAGAACGCGAAGTAACTCCAATGCCTTGCGCACATTGAGAGCAACGGGCGGTTGGACGCTGAGGGGAACGGCGATGGCCCGCACGATGCGTTCGCAGGCGTGATCGGATTGAAAACTGGCAGACCGCACCTCGTCGAGTTGATAAAACGGCACCGTGCGGGGATCGGCGGTGAGGGCGCGCTGGACGAGGCGAGTGTAGGGATCGGCACTGTCCAGCACGTACTCCAGCGCCGCGTGCAGTTTTGCCTGCACACTCATATTGTGATCTCACAGGAATGTGATAATATTAATAATAATAATAATAATAATAATATTAATAATAATAATAATAATAATAATAATAATAATAATAATAATAATAA